TCGGAGACATTTTGGACGTTCAGACGTCGTTTTGTGTGGCAGGTGGAGTGGATTGTGCATCCACTGAAAAGTGACTAAAAGGTGAGGGTGTTGTAGCATTTTCAAAAACGATGGCAGGCATGGGAGATTTGAAGGGGATCTGCACAGACGCATTTTCGTGGCAGGCGCAGTACAAGAGGCATCTTCAGCAGAGATGTTCGGAGCTCAAGGAGCTGATTTCCTGAGAGGGGTTGCATTTTGGCTACAACTACAACTACAACTACAACTATACAACTACACTCCACTACACTCCACTACACTAAATTCCATTACACTACGCTACATTACACTACACTCCACTACACTACACTACACTCCACCACACTAAATTACACTAAACTTCACTACATTACACTACACTCCACTACACTATACTACACTACACTATACTACACTACCTTCCACTGCACTTCACTACATTACACTACACTCCACTACACCACAACTACAACTACAACCACAACTACAACTACAACTACACAATTACACTCCACTACACTAAATTACACTACACTAAATTACACTACACTACACTACATTACACTACACTACATTCCACTACACTCCACTAAACCACACTACATGACACTACACTACATTACACTCAATGACACTGCACCACAGATAGACAGGTAGACAAATAGATAGATAGACAGATAGACAGGTAGACGGAGGGAGAGAGAGAGAGAGAGAGAGAGAGATAGATAGATAGATGGATAGATAGATAGATAGATCGATAGATAGATAGGTAGGTAGATAGATAGATAGGTAATTAGATGAAAGAGAGCGAGAGAGAGAGAGAGAGAGATAGATAGATAGATGGATAGATAGATAGATGGATAGATAGATAGATAGGTATATAGGTAGGTAGGTCGGTCGGTAGGTAGGTAGGTAGGTAGTCAGAGAAAGAGAGAGAAATAGTGAGAGAGATCAATCACCTTTCGTTCCATGAGTGGCTTCGCTCTGCCATCCCTGATTCACAACAACCAACCTCTCCTATAGGTTTCCTATTTTTGAAACTTCTGCCACCGCCTTGTGCGGTACTACTGGTATACTTACAAACAAGAGAGGGCTCGGAGAATTTCACCCAGTGCCCAGCTAACACTCTGGGACGGCATGAAGCCATTGCAGGCGTTGCCACAGTACTGCCTTGCAGCCCGAGCTGGCCAGCGCAGCTTTCCAGCATGATGCGAGCAATTTACCCAGCTACAAGGCACGGCACAAGGGTTTGCACTGAGCTTCCCTGCGAATCGGTAACCAGGTGTTTTTCCTTGGATTGTTGAAGCAATTTTTGAAGGTTTTTGGGTCTTAAGATGGGAAGATATTGGGGGATCTTTAGATTTTGAGATAGCTCATGACCCAGCCCTTGAAGCTGGAAGCGAGTGTGCTTGAGCAGGTTCGAGTCTTCAGGGCCTCCAAAGATTTGAACATCGTGGCTCTGTCCACATGGCGGCATTGTCCACATCCCAAGACCGGATGGGTTGAGTTCAGCATATTTCTTTAATGCTGGTAAAACTTTATCATAATCCACCCATTTGGGAATGGTCTATACCACCGATAAAAATGGTGATTTGGGGAATTGTTTATTATTGTGTTACCCACATGATAGGTTTTTACTGCGGGAGACATTTGATGGGCCAGACCAGATTTTAGAGCCTCCTGCCAAGTTCTCCAGCCACTTCCTACATTTGGCTTACGGCGCTTACAGTCTTTGGGATCAACCCAGTGGCTTTTTCCCAGCCAAGTCGAGCTTTCCGAATCTTTTCCATCCGAGGTGTTTTTGGCACCGCAGTTGGTATGCTGGGAAGTTTGGCCCTGGCCACTTCCCAAAGCTCCTACATTTGGGCTTTGCCAGGCTGGGCCCATCAAACATGGCTGGGAAATCCATGGGAAATCCGCTCGGTGCATGGTGATGATATGAATATATAGGGACGTTTGATAACATGTCAAATGGGAAAAGCATCTATACATTGGGGATTTCTCATTTGCATGTTACATGTTGGATTGCCAGAAGATAAAGCTTTGGAAGTTTGGCTGGACCATCCGTGATAAGCTTTGCGAGGAACGTATCGCACTCGCAAACAGCCAGCCCATCGAAGGTCTGGCAGGTCCGGCATTTCTCTGCTGGTTGCCTTCACGTTTGAGGCTCGCCCCAAGTTTTGGCTGTGCAATGGTTGCCCATTTGACAAAAGAGCATCCAAACTACATAACTATGGAAAATCACAATTTTCAATGGGTAAATCCACTATTTCTATGGCCATTTTCAATATCTATGTTAAAGAGGTAGAATCGTCCCCTGACACCCGTGAAGCGATGTGAGCCTGGCAGGCAACTGTCAACACCATTCGTGGAAGCGACTCGGCGTTTTTCCCAAAACACGGATATCCCCAACTTCATAAATTTGAGGATACTTTTAGTAACAGATGGTAAAAATATGTTGAAATATGTCAAAATGGAATCCCCCATAAATATATATATATATATATAAAACATTATGATATAATATAATTTAATATCATATAATATAATATAATAAAATAAAATAATAAAATATAATAAAATATAATATAATACAATATATTTTATAAAATAAAAAATATAATATAATGTAATATAATATGTTTTATAAAATAAATAAAATAACATATTCAAAAAATAGAATATAATATATTATAAAATAATAGAATATATATATATAATATATATATATACATCTATAAGAAATGTTCATTTGGTGCACATTTTGGGAAAATGTGGAGCCCTCTTCAAGTGCAGGAAATGTTTCTTCGTGTCCCTGTGGGTGGAGCTGCAGAGGAGGCCCAGCTGCGAATCTGGGAGCCTGTAGAACTTTGGGGGAACTTCGTCCAACCCAGATACCCTTTGGTAAACTAGCATAACTATGGAAAACCACCATTTGTAATAGGTAAATCAACTGTAAATGGCAATTTTCAATAGCTATGTTAAATTACCAGAGGGTAAGTCATATTGGAGAATGGTTTGCTTAGGGACTGGTTTTGATCGTTTTTGTAGTTTAGAAGTTCAAGTTTGAGTTTCCTAAAGTAGGGGTACTGCACCCCAAATCGTCCCAAATTTAATATTAGTCCACGTTAGTATTGAAACCTACTTGGCATAGATGTCCTTTTCCCATTGGTTGGTTGATTAATAGAGGGGTTTGTTTACCCCTTTAACAACAGGGAAATGATGATAGATGGTATACCAAACCGGCCCCTCTATTTTTACCAAAAGGACATTATTGCTACTTGGTGGCTCATCCAACTTAGTAAGTGAGATGTAATAACCCCAGTTATAAATGGGATAAGTAGGGTTAATCCACTTATAATTGGGGTTATAACCCACTTACTAAGTGGGATGAGCCACCAAGTATGGCTTTGGGATCCACCATTTTAGGAAACCTCCAATTCTCGCAATGGTTTGCCCCGAGATCTCTCCAGCCCGTGCGCGTAACTCACTGCGACATTCCGTTGCACCAGGAAAGCGCCAACATGGCCAGTGGTCCAGTGGAAGGACCGCCAGGTCAGTGGAGGTTGCACTGAAAATATTTTGTATATTGTTATATATACGTATATATATATATACATACATTATATATATATATATTATATATATGTATATACATATTTATAATTATATATACATATGGTACTTGATTATATATGAATATATAGTTGTTTTCCAATATTCTGCACATGATTGTTTTTTTGGTCAAAAATTAAGCCCCCGAAAACCCAGAGGTTGGGTCATTTGTGGCAAAACAATCATCTAAGTTGAGGGGTGCCCAAGCTTGGTCCATTGGTGCCATGGATCACTGGAGGACCTGCTGCAGATCCACCTGCTGCGGCCGTTGCGGCCAGCTGCGAGTTGCTGAAGCAAATTCACAGCCTGGAGTGGGATGCCAATGAATCGCATACCTATATACACATGTGTTCGTCCCTGATTTATTTATATTAATCTATGTGTATTATATACGTATATATATATATATATTTATATATGTATGTATGTATGTATGTATATATGTAATGTAATGTAATGTAAATGTAAATGCAAATGTAAATGTAATGTAAATGTAAATGTTAATGTAAATGTAAATGTAAATGCAAATGTAAATGTAAATGTAAATGCAAATGTAAATGTAAATGTAAATGTAATGTTATGTTATGTAATGTATGTATGTATGTATATATGTCTGTGTGTGCATGTACTTGATTGTTATTGTAATGCAATGCAATCTCATGTAGTCAAATGGAACGCATCTACTTATTATGTTTTTTCCATCCATCGATCCATCTATCCACCTATCCATCCATATACCTATCCATCTATCCACCTATTCATTTATCCATCCATCGATCTATCGATCTATCGATCTTTCTATCTACCTATATACCTATCTACCTATCTATCTACCTATCAATCAATCTATCTAGATATTTATCTATCTATTTATCTTTCTATCTATCTAATCTATCTAATCTACCTAATCTACCTAATCTATCTAATCTATCTAATCTATCTAATCTATCTAATCTATCCAATCTATCCAATCTATCCAATCTATCCAATCTATCCAATTTGTCCAATCTATCCAATCTATCCAATCTATCCTATCTATCCTATCTATCCTATCTATCCTATCTATCCTATCTATCCTATCTATCTATCTATCTATCTTTCTATCTATCTATCTATCTATCTATCCTAATCTAACCTAACCTAATCTAATCTAATCTAATCTAATCCTATCTATCTATCTATCTATTTATCTATCTACCTATCTATCTATCTATCTATCTAATCTATCTATCTAATCTATCTATCTATCTATCTATCCATCCTATCTATCTTTCTATCTATCTATCTATCTATCTATTTTTCTTATCTATCTATCTATCTATCTATCTATCTATCTATATTTGCATCGATCTTTTTTCTTATCGATTCACCTATCTTATTATATATTTACCCTATTATCTTCTATCGTCTTATCTATGTATCTTCTTATTTATATATATATATATATATTCTTGTATATATATATATATTCTTATCTATCTAATTTCTTTTCTATCTATATTTTATTATCTATCTATCTATCTATCTTCATAAATATTTTTACCTATTTTTATCTATATTTATCTATCTACCTAATCTATCTAGTCTATCCAATCTATCTAATCTATCCAATCTATCTAATCTATCCAATCTATCTAATCTATCTAATCTATCCTATCTATCTATCAATCTAATCTATCTAATCTATCTAATCTATTTAATCTATCTAATCTATCTAATCTATCGAATCTATCAAATCTATCTAATCTATCTAATCTATCTAATCTATCGAATCTATCTAATCTATCAAATCTATCTATCTATCTATCTATCTATCTAGGCTATCTAATCTATCTAATCTATCTAATCTACCTAACCTATCTAGTCTATCTAATCTATCTAATCTATCTAATCTACCTAATCTATCTAATCTATCTAATCTACCTAATCTATCTAATCTATCTAATCTATCCAATCTATCCAATCTATCCAATTTGTCCAATCTATCCAATCTATCCAATCTATCCTCTCTATCCTATCTATCCTATCTATCCTATCTATCTATCTATCTATCTATCTATCTATCTATCTATCTATCTATCTATCTATCTATCTATCCTATCTGTCTATCTGTCTATCTATCTATCTATCTATCTATCTATCCAATCTATCCTCTCTATCCTATCTATCCTATCTATCCTATCTATCTATCTATCTATCTATCTATCTATCTATCTATCTATCTATCTATCTATCTATCTATCTATCTATCTATCTATCTATCTATCTATCCTATCTATCTTTCTATCTATCTATCTATCTATCTATCTGTCTTATATGTCTTATCTTTCTCATCTTTCTTATCAGCCTTATCTTTCTTATCTTTTTTATCTTTCTTATCATTCTTATCATTCTTATCTTTCTTATCATTCTTATCATTCTTATCTTTCTTATCTTTCTTATGTCTCTTATCTATCCATCTATCTATCTATCTACCTAGCTATCTAGCTAACCTACCTAATCTATCTAATCTATCCAATCTATCTAATCTATCCAATCTATCTAATCTGTCTAATCTGTCTAATCTGTCTAATCTATCCAATCTATCTAATCTATCTAATCTGTCTAATCTGTCTAATCTGTCTAATCTGCCTAATCTGGCTGATCTGTCGAATCTATCCTATCTATCCTATCTACCCTATCTATCCTATCTATCCTATCTATCCTATCTATCCTATCCATCCTATCTATCCTATCTATCCTATCTATCCTATCTATCCTATCTATCCTATCTATCTATCTATCTATCTATCTTTCTATCTATCTATCTATCTATCTATCTAATCTATCTAATCTATCTAATCTATCCTATCCTATCCTATCCTATCCTATCTATCTATCTATCTATCTATCTATTTTTCTTATCTATCTATCTATCTATCTATATTTGCATCGATCTTTTTTCTTATCGATTCACCTATCTTATTATATATTTATCCTATTATCTTCTATCGTCTTATCTATGTATCTTCTTATTTATATATATATATTCTTGTATATATATATATATATTCTTATCTATCTAATTTCTTTTCTATCTATATTTTATTATCTATCTATCTATCTATCTTCATAAATATTTTTACCTATTTTTATCTATATTTATCTATCTACCTAATCTATCTAGTCTATCCAATCTATCTAATCTATCCAATCTATCTAATCTATCCAATCTATCTAATCTATCTAATCTATCCTATCTATCTATCAATCTAATCTATCTAATCTATCTAATCTATTTAATCTATCTAATCTATCTAATCTATCGAATCTATCAAATCTATCTAATCTATCTAATCTATCTAATCTATCGAATCTATCTAATCTATCAAATCTATCTATCTATCTATCTATCTATCTATCTAGGCTATCTAATCTATCTAATCTATCTAATCTACCTAACCTATCTAGTCTATCTAATCTATCTAATCTATCTAATCTACCTAATCTATCTAATCTATCTAATCTACCTAATCTATCTAATCTATCTAATCTATCCAATCTATCCAATCTATCCAATTTGTCCAATCTATCCAATCTATCCAATCTATCCTCTCTATCCTATCTATCCTATCTATCCTATCTACCCTATCTATCCTATCTATCCTATCTATCCTATCTATCCTATCCATCCTATCTATCCTATCTATCCTATCTATCCTATCTATCCTATCTATCCTATCTATCCTATCTATCCTATCTATCCTATCTATCCTATCTATCCTATCTATCCCATCTATCCTATCTATCCTATCTATCCTATCTATCCTATCTATCCTATCTATCCTATCTATCTATCTATCTATCTATCTATCTATCTATCTATCTATCTATCTATCTATCTATCTATCTATCTATCTATCTATCTATCTATCTATCCTATCTATCTTTCTATCTATCTATCTATCTAGCCATTCTATCTATCTATCTATCTATCTATCTGTCTTATATGTCTTATCTTTCTCATCTTTCTTATCAGCCTTATCTTTCTTATCTTTTTTATCTTTCTTATCATTCTTATCATTCTTATCTTTCTTATCTTTCTTATGTCTCTTATCTATCCATCTATCTATCTATCTACCTAGCTATCTAGCTAACCTACCTAATCTATCTAATCTATCCAATCTATCTAATCTATCCAATCTATCTAATCTGTCTAATCTGTCTAATCTGTCTAATCTATCCAATCTATCTAATCTATCTAATCTGTCTAATCTGTCTAATCTGTCTAATCTGCCTAATCTGGCTGATCTGTCGAATCTATCCTATCTATCCTATCTACCCTATCTATCCTATCTATCCTATCTATCCTATCTATCCTATCCATCCTATCTATCCTATCTATCCTATCTATCCTATCTATCCTATCTATCCTATCTATCCTATCTATCCTATCTATCCTATCTATCTATCTATCTTTCTATCTATCTATCTATCTATCTAATCTATATAATCTATCTAATCTATCCTATCCTATCCTATCCTATCCTATCCTATCCTATCTATCTCTCTCTCTCTATCTCTCTCTCTATCTCTCTATCTATCTATCTATCTATCTATTTATCTATCTATTTATCTATCTATCTATCTATCTATCTAACTATCTATTCTATCCATCTCATCTATCTATATATATATATATATTTATATTTATCTATTTGTATCGATCTACTTTATGATCGATCTGTTTTCTTATCGATCGATCTTATTATCTATCTATCTTAGTATATAATATTATATTTCTATCCTATTATTTTCTATCGTCTTATCTATGTATTTTCTTCTCTCTCTCTATATATATATGTATATATATATATTCTTATATATCTTCTTATCCATCTATATTCTTATCTATATATATATATATATCTATTTTTTTATTTATGTATATTCTTATCTATCTATCTTCTTATCTATCTTTATCTATCTATCTATCTAACTATCTAACTGTCTATATATCTATCCTTTCCTATCTATCACGCACGCACGCACGTACGTCAGTATGTACGTACATATGCGTACGTACACAAGTACATACGTGGGCATGTTTGTGTAGGAATTGTCTTATGTGATGCTGCCTTCCATCTACAGCTTGTTCTTATGTTTGGCATTTACTTCTATACTGGATGTTTTGCATGTTTTTTGTGTAACCCAAGCCTTGGTTGTGTGTTTTTTTCATGGAAGCCAACTGTGGAAGACTTCTACCCCCAGTGGAAGGAGCTGGAACTAATCAGCCCGACCATCATCCGGCACCTCGTATTGGAGGTCAAGAACCGGGAGACACTTTTATTCGGCGGAAGATTTGCGGCTGAAGATCTTGTCCCCATGTGATTTACTGTAAACCAGCTATGAACAAGTTGCAATTCGGTGTTTTTTTTGGCATATTCTTGTGTGACTGGAAGAGCTAGTGCCATGTGACACATAGATGTTTTGCACCCACGGGCTGCACCAGCCTTGGAGAGTGGGAGATCCAGCCACTATGGTTGGTTCTTCAGAAAGCCTTCCCCGGATCATCAAACTGCAAATGGATAGCCTTTAGAACATGTCACACTGGAGATGTATGTGCATGTGAGCGTGTGTGTCTGGGTGTGGTAAAGAATGGAGTACAACAAAATGGTCCAAAATGGTTGTTTCAATCGAAGTTTATTCAGTTCTAAACTTCCAAAAATAACCTGTTCCATCCTCTTCCCCATCAATGTTCAATGATTTTCAGACCCAGATGTGCAGCATCCAGCTGCTGGTTCTGTGTTGGTCCTTTCTTTCGTCCCCAGGAGCCTCTAAAGACCAAGCCCCTGTTGCGCAAAGCGGGGCTCCGCAGCGATCCCCGCTGCACTTTGGGCGAGCTGTGTGCTCGGCCCAGCAGCGAAGGTGCCGCTAATGGCAGGCACTTCCTGATTTATTGATACTTGTATGTATTGAAATGATACAAAGGTGATCATTATTGGGAAATTATTGAGAAGTCACCATTTTCAATAGGCAATTCTATGTAAGTATCTATAAATTGGCAGTTTTCCACAGTTATCCTAAATTACCTGAGAGCACCTGATTTATTGGGATTGATTTATGTGGGTATAACGAACAATCTCCAGTTTCACTGGAAATTGGTGGTAAATAGCCAATCAGAGGTTTACTATTCGGTTTGTCATACAATATGCGTACAAATGCGTACAAGTTGTAAGCCATAGTGGGGATACCGTCAACCAGCCAGCTTAATGGGGTTGGATAGGGGTTATTTTTCATGGCTCATGTGAAAAAGTGTGTTAAACCCAATAGTAAACCTTCCATGTTTTTGGGATGGCTGATTTGTGGTGGTGATTCAGTGTTCACCTGAAAACATGGTGCCTCGATTGCTTCCAGGTGGACATTCAAAAGTCAGGAACTGAGCTGGGAACAATTGGAAGGAAGCACATCGCGGCGATCATGTCAAAATTTGTTTGGCCTATCGGACCACAGATTCTAGATGATTTTTAGTATATGTTTAGTATTAACATATATTAACATGTTCATAATGTATTAACAATCTAATTATCGGGGTACCCAATTTTGACCTACATGTTGTGGTGGAGTTCCGCCATCGCAGTGGTGGCCCAGGGAGGAAGGCGTGGTCCTTTGCACATCGACCCAGAAGAGGCCTTCTGCTGCAGGGTCAGAGTCTAGGGTCCTCCAGGGGCTGCTTCCCTTCTTGGAAATGGATGCCATAGGATGCGACAGTAATGCTCTTTGTGATGCCTTGACATATGGTGATTCCAGAAAATTGCTCTTTGGAACATTATGGTGAATCATATTACTTATGGTGATTCCAGAAAACATTATGGTGTAATCATTTCACTGAAATGTGTTTTTTCCCGAGAGCGCCTGCGAAGGGTTCTTCGTAAAAAAGCAGCCGTTATACTAGATCTTCACACCTTCACACCTGCAGATCTAGATCTTCACACTCTCACATCTGCAGATCTACATCTTCACACCTTCACATCTGCTGATCTAGATCTTCACACCCTCACATCTGCAGATCTAGATATTCACACCTTCACACCTGCAGATCTAGATCTTCACACTCTCACATCTGCCGATCTACATCTTCACACCTTCACATCTGCTGATCTACATCTTCACACCTTCACACCTGCAGATCTAGATCTTCACATCCTCACATCTGCAGATTTAGATCTTCACACCCTCACATCTGCAGATCTACATCTTCACACCTTCACACCTGCAGATCTAGATCTTCACACCCTCACACCTGCAGATCTAGATCTTCACACCCTCACATCTGCAGATCTACATCTTCACACCCTCACATCTGCAGATCTAGATCTTCACACCCTCACATCTGCAGATCTAGATCTTCACACCCTCACACCTGCAGATCTAGATCTTCACACCCTCACATCTGCAGATCTAGATCTTCACACCCTCACACCTGCAGATCTAGATCTTCACACCCTCACATCTGCCGATCTACATCTTCACACCTTCACATCTGCAGATCTCCTCTCGCTCTTCTTCTATTCTCTCTTAAGGCGGGGGCGGTGCCGCCGGAGCGCCACGAAACGCAACCCTTTCGCACGAAATGGACGTTGGACGTCCAAAACCTAGGTAAAATTGCGATTTTGAAGCGTCCCCGCAACCCTTTCGCACGAAATGGACGTTGGACGTCAAAAACTGAGGAAAAATTGCAACTTTTATTGGTCGCGCGCAACCCTTTCGCACGAAATGGACGTTGGACGTCAAAAACTGAGGAAAAATTGCGACTTTGAAGTGTCCCGCGCAACCCTTACGCACGAAATGGACGTTGGACGTCAAAAACTGAGGAAAAATTGCGACTTTGAGTTGTCAATCGCAACCCTTACGCACGAAATGGACGTTGGACGTCAAAAACTGAGGAAAAATTGCGACTTTGAGTAGTCCCGCGCAACCCTTACGCACGAAATGGACGTTGGACGTCAAAAACTGAGGAAAAATTGCGACTTTAGTTTGTCAATCGCAACCCTTACGCACGAAATGGACGTTGGACGTCAAAAACTGAGGAAAAATTGCGATTTTACTTGGTCAATCGTAACGCTTTCGTCTGTGTAAAAGTGTCTGTGTGTAAAAGCCTCTGTGTGTAAAAGCCTCTGTGTGTAAAAGTGTCTGTGTGTAAAAGTGTCTGTGTGTAAAAGCGTCTGTGTGTAAACGTGTCTGTGTGTAAAAGTGTCGTGTGTAAAAGCGGTTGTGTGTAAAATCGTCTGTGTGTAAAAGCGTCTGTGTGTAAAAGCGCCTGTGTGTAAAAGCGTCTGTGTGTAAAAGCGTCTGTGTGTAAAAGCGCCTGTGTGTAAAAGTGTCTGTGTGTAAAAGTGTCTGTGTGTAAAAGCGTCTGTGTGTAAAAGCGTCTGTGTGTAAAAGCGTCTGTGTGTAAAAGCGCCTGTGTGCAAAAGCGTCTGTGTGTCAAAGCGTCTGTGTGCAAAAGCGTGTGTGTGTAAAAGCCTCTGTGTGTAAAAGCGTTTGTGTGTAAAAGCGTCTGTGTGTAAAAGCGTCTGTGTGTAAAAGCGTCTGTGTGTAAAATCGTCTGTGTGTAAAAGCGTCTGTGTGTAAAAGCGTCTGTGTGTAAAAGCGCCTGTGTAAAAGCCTCTGTGTGTGAAAATGTTGTGTGTAAAAGTGTCTGTGTGTAAAAGTGTCTGTGTGTATTAAAAGCGTCTGTGTGTAAAAGAAGGTCTGCTGTGTAAGTAAAGCGCCTTGGTGTGCGCAACCCGTACGAACGAATGGACGTTGGACGTTCAAAAATGGGAAAAAAATTGCAAACTTTTATTGGTTTTCGGCGCCGCAACCCTTTCGCACGAAATGGACGTTGGACGTTAAAAACTGAGGAAAAATTGCGACTTTGAAGTGTCCCGCGCAACCCTTTCGCACGAAATGGACGTTGGACGTCAAAAACTGAGGAAAAATTGCGACTGTGAGTTGTCAATCGCAACCCTTACGCACGAAATGGACGTTGGACGTCAAAATCTGAGGAAAAATTGCGATTTTACTTGGTCAATCGTAACGCTTTCGTCTGTGTAAAAGTGTCTGTGTGTAAAAGCGTCTGTGTGTAAAAGTGTCTGTGTGTAAAAGTGCCGTGTGTAAAAGCGGTTGTGTGTAAAAGCGTCTGTGTGTAAAAGTGTCTGTGTGTAAAAGCGTCTGTGTGTAAAAGCGTCTGTGTGTAAAATCGTCTGTGTGTAAAAGCGTCTGTGTGTAAAAGCGTCTGTGTGTAAAAGCGCCTGTGTAAAAGCCTCTGTGTGTGAAAATGTTGTGTGTAAAAGTGTCTGTGTGTAAAAGCGTGTGTGTGTAAAAGCGTCTGTGTGTAAAAGCTTCTGTGTGTAAAAGCCTCTGTGTGTAAAAGCGTCTGTGTGTAAAAGCGTCTGTGTGTAAAAGTGTCTGTGTGCAAAAGTGTCTGTGTGTAAAAGCGTCTGTGTGTAAAAGCCTCTGTGTGTAAAAGCGTCTGTGTGTAAAAGTGTCTGTGTGTAAAAGCGCCTGTGTGTAAAACAGCGTCACTGTCCGCTGTGTGTTAAAAGCGCCCTGGGGAAAAGCCTCTGTGTGTGAAAATGTTGTGGTGATAAAAGTGTCTGTGTGTAAAAGCGTCTGATGTGTAAAAGCGTCTGTGGGTAAAAGGGTCTGTGGGGTCTAAAAGCGCCTGTGTGTTAAAAGCCTCTGTGTGTGAAAGTGTGTCTGTTGCTGTGCAAAAGTGTCTGGGTGTAAAAGCGTTTCTGTGTGTAAAAGGTTGGTTTGTGGTAAAAAAGCCTTCGTCATCGGTGTGTAAAAGCGTCTGTGTGTAAAGGAGTCTGTGTGTAAAAGCGTCTGTGTGTAAAAGCGTCTGTGTGTAAAGGAGTCTGTGTGTAAAAGCTTCTGTGTGTAAAAGCCTCTGTGTGTGAAAGCGTTTGTGTGTAAAAGTGTCTGTGTGTAAAAGCGTCTGTGTGTAAAAGCGTCTGTGTGTAAAAGCGTCTGTGTGTAAAAGCTTCTGTGTGTAAAAGCCTCTGTGTGTAAAAGCGTCTGTGTGTAAAAGCGTCTGTGTGTAAAAGCGTCTGTGTGTAAAAGTGTCTCTGTGTAAAAGTGTCTGTGTGTAAAAGCGTCTGTGTGTAAAAGCCTCTGTGTGTAAAAGCGTCTGTGTGTAAAAGTGTCTGTGTGTAAAAGCGCCTGTGTGTAAAAGCTTCTGTGTGTAAAAGCCTCTGTGTAAAAGCTTCTGTGTATAAAAGCCTCTGTGTGTAAAAGCTTCTGTGTGTAAAAGCATCTGTGTGTGAAAGTGTTGTGTGTAAAAGCGTCTGTGTGTAAAAGGGTCTGTGTGTAAACGGGTCTGTGTGTAAAAGTTTCCGTGTGTAAAAGCCTCTGTGTGTGAAAGTGTGTGTGCGTGTGTAAAACGCATCTGCGTGTCTGCGTGTAGAAGCGTCTGTGTGTAAAACCGTCTGTGTGTGTGTAAAAGCTTTTGTGTGTAAAAGTGTCTGTGAGATCTCGAGAATTACATTGTGACAATGTCAGTGTTTGTTGACGATGCAGTGGATCTATGTGATTTATGGCACAAAAAAAATATGTGATCTTTGCATTGAAATGCATGAGCAGTGGACAAAAAAATACTACGGGAATCATTGTACTGTTCAATTTTGTACCGTTCAATTTTGTTTTGTTCTCCAGCATGTCATGGCATTGTTTTGAACTCAAGCGAACAGATATGCATGTCTCGGAATTTTCTGAATGCAACATGTTTGGTTGAAGTCACGCACCCGTGACGTTTGTGGACGTTTTGTGGTCTCTGTTTCATTTGCTGACGGGAATGTCTGTGCGAATGGTGCATGCGACCGCGTCATTCGCGTCGTCCGCTGCCGTGGAAATTTGGTTGCAGAGGCATTGCGAGATGATGCAAGATGGTGTTTCCGAGCTGCTGAGTTTTTTCCCGAGAGCACCTGCGAAGGGTTCTTCGTAAAAAAGCAGCCGTTATACTACATCTTCACACCTTCACATCTGCTGATCTACATCTTCACACCTTCACATCTGCTGATCTAGATCTTCACACCTTCACATCTGCAGATCTAGATCTTCACACCTTCACACCTGCAGATCTAGATCTTCACACCCTCATATCTGCAGATCTAGATCTTCACACCCTCACACCTGCAGATCTAGATCTTCACACCTTCACATCTGCAGATCTACATCTTCACACCTTCACATCTGCAGATCTACATCATATACACCCTCACACCTGCAGATCTAGATCTTCAAACCTTCACATCTGCTGATCTAGATCTTCACACCTTCACACCTGCTGATCTAGATCTTCAAACCTTCACATCTGCTGATCTAGATCTTCACACCTTCACACCTGCTGATCTAGATCTTCACACCTTCACACCTGCAGATCTAGATCTTCACACCTTCACACCTGCAGATCTAGATCTTCACACCTTCACACCTGCAGATCTAGATCTTCACACCCTCACATCTACAGATCTAGATCTTCACACCCTCACATCTGCAGATCTACATCTTCACACCCTCACACCTGCAGATCTAGATCTTCACATCCTCACACCTGCAGATCTAGATCTTCACACCTTCACATCTGCAGATCTCTTCTCGCTCTTCTTCTATTCTCTCTTAAGGCGGGGGCGGTGCCGCCGGAGCGCCACGAAACGCAACCCTTTCGCACGAAATGGACGTTGCGCCACGCCAAAAACTGAGCGAAAAAAAAATGCCGATTTAATTTTTGTCCATCAGCAACCCTTTCGCACGAAATGGACGTTGGACGTTAAAAACTGAGGAAAAATTGCGACTTTGAAGCGTCCGGTCCCGCGCAACCCTTTCGCACGAAATGGACGTTGGACGTCAAAAACTGAGGAAAAATTGCGACTTTGAAGCGTCCGGCGCAACCCTTTCGCACGAAATGGACGTTGGACGTCAAAAACTGAGGAAAAATTGCGACTTTGAGGTGTCCAGCGCAACCCTTTCGCACGAAATGGACGTTGGACGTCAAAAACTGAGGAAAAATTGCGACTTTGAGGTGTCAATCGCAACCCTTACACACGAAATGGAGGTTGGACGTCAAAAACTGAGGAAAAATTGCGATTTTACTTGGTCAATCGTAACCCTTTCGCACGAAATGGAAGTTGGACGTCAAAAACTGAGGAAAAATTGCGATGGACGCTTTCGTTTCTGTACAAGTGTCTGTGTGTAAAAGCGTCTGTGTCTAAAAGCGTTTGTGTTTGAAAGCGTGTGTGCGTGTGGAAAAAGCATCTGCGTGTAAAAGCGTCCTGTGTAAAAGCGTTTGTGTGTCAACGCGTCTGTGTGTAAAAGCGTTTGTGTGTGAAAGCGTGTGTGCGTGTGTAAAACGTATCTGCGTGTAGAAGCGTCTGTGTGTAAAACCGTCTCTGTGTAAAAGCTTTTGTGTGTAAAAGCGTCTGTGTGTAAAAGCGTCTGTGTGTAAAAGCATTGCGTCTGTGTGTAAAAGCGTCTGTGTGTAAAAGTGTTTCTGTGTAAAGGAGTTGTAGAGGTTACCAAGTACCTCTTTCCTGGGCTCAGACGTGGACGTAGAGACAAGATGCATTGTGCACAGAGTGAACATCCATATTCTTATATGTACGCTGAATGTTCGTGAAACAAGTGAGGATTGGCAAACGGGTATCTGTAACATTTCTTGCACTTCTCGAGGTTTCTGTAGGGTCAGTCCATGAGATCTCGAGAATTGCAGTGTTTGTTTACGATGCAGTGGATCTATGTGATGTATAGCACGAAAAACATATATGTGTTGTTTTCATTCAAATTATGAGCAGTGGACAAAAAAGATAATTCGGGAATCACTGCACCGTTCAATTTTGTCTGGGCCGCTCGGCAATGGCCGCGTGGAGACCGCCGGAGGATGAGGAAGTGGCATGGGTGTTGGAAGTTGTGGGGTGCAAGCGATCTCATCTTGGAGACATGTCGGAGGATGAGTTCCGATACATCTATTCAAATGAATATCATGTGGTTTTAGTCGGCGATTCACGGGACCCATTTGCTTTTTTTTTTGAAGTGTGTTGATTTGATGTGTTCATTGCAAGCTTCACTGTTCAGTTTGCAGGTCTCTGCGACAATGGTGCCCATGCCCAGTGTCAAACTTAGCAATTGTGCCCTGAGCGTCGAAGTCGGAGAACGATTTCTTGGCATTGAATTGTGTGAGTGCGTAGCTCACTGCATCTTTCTCACTGCATATTCAAATGAATAACATGTGGTTGTAGTCGGCGATTCACGGTACACAATTCTTTTGAAGTGTGTTGATTTGATGTGTTCATTGTAAGCTTCACCGTTGACGCGTTCAGCCTTCAGTTTGCAGGTCTCTGCAACAGTGGTTCTTTGCCATGTCAAACTCATGAGTGGTGTTCTCAGTTTGGAAGTCAGAGAACAACTGCTTTGCAGTGGATTGTGCAACTTTGCAGCGACAAGCATAGTTTACCTCTTTATCTCTTTCCTGGGCTCAGAGGTGTACGTAGAGACAAGATGCATTTGTTTGTGTACTTTTGCATTTTGTAGCATTTCCATTGCGACTATGTTTGCCCACCTTTGTTTGCAACTAAGGTCATCCACGGCATCATGGTGCCGAGCTTCTTTTGTATCTCAAAGGTCTTTGTGTGGAAATGCGTCTGACCTCTCTCTCTCTCTTTATCTCTTCCCCCTCTTTCTCTCTGTGGTTCCACGACACATGTCATCTGATGCCCTTTACCCAATATTCTCTTCTTGATCAATTTTACTTTTTTACATCATGTCTTTCCATAGCTCATTTAAAATTCACCAATAAAATTCACCAACTATTCACCGACTATCTTTTACGACTACCATACTCAGAGCTGCTTGAAACACATCTTTTTCGCTCTCGGGCCAACCGTCGTCTATTTTTTTTGCCGGGTGATGAGCAGTGCCCAGAGTGTTCCGACAACGCCCGTCAGGGCACTTCCTGTGATGCCGCATTGCTGGCTGCCTTGTTGCTGAGCCCAAAGGCACCCAGAATTTCTGGACAGATCATGAAAACATATGAAAACCATATGAAATCCAAACAAAACACGGCTTGGCTGAGTGGAATTTGACCCAAAGATACCCAAAGTGCTTGATGATTGCTTCTTGGGAAGCCCATCTGTTACAACCATTTTGAACATGTTGAACCGTTAGCTTTTTGGCGCTGCTGTTGCGATGTCGTGTGGGATCAATCCAGCAAGTCTTGTTTTTGGGTGGACCAACTGTAAGGTACAACTGACCCAGCCACCCGTAAAAAACAACCCAAAAAGCATCTACAGTATGTGAAAGCTGTGGCAAATTCTTGCAGCAATGAATCACAATCATGTTCCTAAGTTGGAACTTCATTAGATTCCTCAACGTCAAAAAAGTATATGTTCCGGAACTCTCTTTGTCAGGTTATGGCTTTGGAGGAGCTGCTAGCACGAGAGGAGGTGCAAGCTGCGCATGCGGAGAGTTCTCAACGGGAGAAGTCATCAGCCATTATCAACAACGATCAAGAATCATCAACATCCATCAGCCATCAACTACCATCAACATCCATCAACCATTATCAAAGGAAGTTGGGAAGCAATACTTCCGAGTTACGGACAAATAGAATTCTGAGACTTGAAATGATGAAGGGTGGTATGTCATCTAACAATACATAACAAAAGAATAAGAAGCTATTCAGTTGACCTTGATGAAGGGTGGTAGATCACATAACAATACATAATGTACCAATACATAATGTACCAATACATAACAAAAGAATAAGAAGCTATGCAGTTGACCTTGATGAAGGGTGGTAGATCACATAACAATACATAACAAAAGAATAAGAAGCTATGACACAGGGTGGGTGAAGAAGGGAAGTGATGATGAAGGGGAATGGTGACAAAGGGAAGTGGTGAGGAAGGGAAGTGGTGAAGAAGGGAAGTGGTGACGAAGGGAAGTGGTGACGAAGGGAAGTGGTGACGAAGGGAAGTGGTGACGAAGGGAAGTGGTGACGAAGGGAAGTGGTGACGAAAGGAAGTGACGACGAAAGGAAGTGGTGACGAAGGGAAGTGGTGACGAAGGGAAGTGGTGACGAAGGGAAGTGGTGACGAAGGGAAGTGGTGACGAAGGGAAGTGCTGACGATGGGAAGTGGACGAAGGGAACTGGTGACGATGGGAAGTGGTGACGAAGGGAAGTGGTGACGAGGGGAAGTGGTGACGAAGGGAAGTGGTGACGAGGGGAAGTGGTGACGAAGGGAAGTGGTGACGAAGGGAAGTGGTGACGAAGGGAAGTGGTGAGGAAGGGAAGTGGTGACGAGGGGAAGTGGTGACGAAGGGAAGTGGTGAGGAACGGAAGTGGTGACGAACGGAAGTGGTGACGAAGGGAAGTGGTGACGAAGGGAAGTGGTGAGGAAGGGAAGTGGTGACGAGGGGAAGTGGTGACGAAGGGAAGTGGTGAGGAACGGAAGTGGTGACGAAGGGAAGTGGTGACGAAGGGAAGTGGTGACGAAGGGAAGTGGTGACGAAGGGAAGTTGACGAAGGGAAGTGGTGACGAAGGGAAGTGGCTGGAATGGCTGCATGAATGTTGCGTGGGCTCTGTTTTGGGGAGGAAGCCGGAGCACGAAACCTTGTCTTTTTCCGTGTAAAGTGGCTGCAGCCGGCGATGAAAGGTACCTCGTCTGTGCGGCGGGTGCGTTTGGGGTCGTTTCATGCGCGAATTGTTCCTCCTATGTGTTTTGCAACGAGTGGTTGTTCCTGTGTGCGTAGTTCTATGCGGTTCTTGAATCTCTGGTTGCATGATCGCATTGGAATGGCTGCATGAATGTTGCATGGGTTATGTTTTGGGGAGGAAGCCGGAGCACGAAACCTTGCGTTTTTCCGCGTAAAGTGGCTGCAGCCGGCGATGAAAGGTACCTCGTCTGTGCGGCGGGTGTGGCTGGGGTCGTTTCATGCGCGAATTGTTCCTCCTATGTGTTTTGCAACGAGTGGTTGTTCCTGTGTGCGTAGTTCTATGCGTTTCTTGAAGCTGTGGTGGCAGATCGCATTGGAATGGCTGCATGGTTGTTGTCATTTGGTGTTGCCACGTCCGTAGATAGGTGCAGGTTTGCTACGGGATGCTGCGAAACGCAGTGTAATGGCTGCATGAATGTTGCATGGGCTATGTTGTGGGGAGGAAGCCGGAGCACGAAACCTTGTGTTTTTCCGTGTAAAGTGGCTGCAGCCGACGATGAAAGGTACCTCGTCTGTGCGACGGGTGCGGCTGGGGTCGTTTTGCGCGCGAATTGTTCCTCCTATGTGTTTTGCAACGAGTGGTTGTGTCTGTGTGCGTAGTTCTATTCGGTTCTTGAAGCTGTGGTTGCAGATTGCATTGCCATGGCTGCATGAATGTTGCATGGGCTATGTTTTGGGGAGGAAGCCGGAGCACGAAACCGTGCGTTTTTCCGTGTAAAGTGGCTGCAGCCGACGATGAAAGGTACCTCGTCTGTGCGGCGGGTGCGGCTGGGGTCGTTTTGTGCGCGAATTGTTCCTCCTATGTGTTTTGCAACGAGTGGTTGTGTCTGTGTGCGTAGTTCTATGCGGTTCTTGAATCTCTGGTTGCAGATTGCATTGGAATGGCTGCCTCATTGTCGCCATTTGATGTTGCCACGTGCGTAGATAGGTGCGGGTTTGCAACGGGATGCTGCGAAACGCATTGTAATGGCTGCATGAATGTTGCATATTTTGGGGAGGAAGCCGGAGCACGAAACCTTGTGTTTTGCCGTGTAAAGTGGCTGCAGCCGACGATGAAAGGTACCTCGTCTGTGCGGCGGGTGCGGCTGGGGTCGTTTTGTGCGCTGAAGCTGTGGCTGCAGATTGCATTGTAATGGCTGCATGAATGTTGCATGGGCTATGTTTTGGGGAGGAAGCCGGAGCACGAAACCTTGTGTTTTTCCGTGTAAAGTGGCTGCAGGCGACGATGAAAGGTACCTCGTCTGTGCGGCGGGTGCGGCTGGGGTCGTTTTGTGCGCGAATTGTTCCTCGTATGTGTTTTGCAACGAGTGGTTGTGTCTGTGTGCATAGTTCTATTCGGTTCTTGAATCTCTGGTTGCAGATTGCATTGGAATGGCTGCATGAATGTTGCATGGGCTATGTTTTGGGGAGGAAGCCGGAGCACGAAACCTTGTGTTTTTCCGTGTAAAGTGGCTGTATGCGTAATACTATTGCCTTTTGCAGCTGAGCATCGTAAATCGTATTGGAATGGCTGCATCCACGCTGCGATAGTGATTTGTCAGCAGATGTTTTCAACTTTGGCGCTTATAATTTTCCTTTTAAAAATCCTTTTAAACAGTGCTTCAAAATCGTCTTTTTTCTGCTTTGGCGTCGAGATCCGGTTTTGGAGCTGCAATTTCCGACGCCGTTGCGCGTAGTTCTTTTGTGTTTTGCAACTCAGTCTTTGCAGATCGCATTGGGATGGCTGCGTCAGGGTTGCTTGGCGCAGCGGCTGCATGCGTAATCTTTTGCAGCTGAAGATCGTAAATCGTATTGGAGTGGGTGCATCAAGGCTGCGACAGTGATTAGTAGTACTGGGAAGTGATTCATGAAAGCTTAGATGACATATGAGAAGAGATGAGATGAGAAGAGATGAGCGGGGATAAGGTGAGAAGGGCTTAGATGAGATGAAGTGTGGAGTGTGAAGAGTGCAGTGTGAAGTGTGGGGCGTGAAGGGTGCAGTGTGAAGTGTGAAGTGTGAAGTTTGGAGTGTGAAGAAAGCAGTGAGAAGTAAGAAGTGTGGACTGTGAAGTGTGAAGTGTGGACTGTGAAGTGTGAAGTTTGGAGTGCGAAGAGTGCAGTGTGACGTGTGAAGTGCGGAGTGTGAAGTGTGGAGTGTGAAGTGTGAAGTGTGGAGTCTTAAGAGTGCAGTGTGAAGTGTGGAGTGTGAAGTGTGTAGTGTGGAGTGTGAAGACTGCAGTGAGAAGTGCGAAGTGCGAAGTGGAGCTTCAAATGTGACATGTGAAACAAGACATCAGTTTCGCAGAGTGCACGCACGCACCGGCTTGGCTGGCGCACGGCGCAGGCAAGTTCTATAGATGAGAAAGGTCTTATATATATCTTTAAGGCAACTTACGCCCCGCCTCGTGCGGGTACTACTGGTAAACCATTACTAACAATCATCAAGCATCATCAACCCATTCCAGCGATGGAAGTCTCATCCAGCATTGGCTGCATGAGGCCTCATGGCCGTTGAGATTGTCGGCCAGGGTCTCGTTTACCACAACAGACGTCCGGTGTATGAAGGATATGAACCAATATTTAATATTTACCTCGAAGGAATTGCCCAAATGTATCCAAACGTTGCTAAATATACTGTAATATAATATGATAATTATATATTAATATGTTATTATTTTCATGAACACACACACACATATATATATATGGACTGTATGTGCGTAGATATGTACATATAATATATATATATATATCCATACAATTATATATACACGTTTGAATGCATCTAAATACAGAGAGAGAGAGAGAGACACTGCCATCCTAATGATTATATAATGATTTTTCAATGGATTTTATAGGATTTGTTTATAGTCAGCCATCAGTGATTTGTTTACAAATCCTGGGTGCCAGTTGGACCGCACTGCAGGTAGAGGACCTGTCACTGCAGCGCCTGCCCTCACAGTTGGCGGAGCTCGAATCGCTGAACGAAGCGCCAGAGCAGGCCATGGTGAGGCGCAGTGATGACCCTCCAAGCGGATGGGGTTCCCCGAAAGCGACGTCATTTTTCCATATTTTCCCCATGAACAGATTACTTGGGAGGTAGGGCCCCAGTTTCAGACACAGCCATGTTTCTGAATAGTGTTTAATGATGTTTAATGCCTAACGTGCTCATACATATGATCTCATATTCATATAATGTCAACCCTGGATTAAGAAACCCCTAGATTGTTTAATTGGGAGGGTACCATTTAAGTATCATTAATTATGACTATTGGAGGAGTACCCGGTACCCCCCTAATTTTTCTAAACCATGGTTTATTAATCCGGGGTTGACATTATTAAGCAATAACACATCACCCAGATGTTGCCAAGAGAACTTTCATTGTCACCATTTTCCACATTTAGGTAAGAAAACAAGAAACAGAGGTTTTGAACTGGGTGGTACCCATGACGGGAGGCTTGGTCGCGTCGCCTTGCTTCTGGGCATCGGCTTGGCTACCATACAGGGCTTCGCAGCGATAAAGCTGGTGGAAGGCGCGGCTGCTGTACCCATAGGATCCATGGTGCTGCTATATATGGTAACATGGATCCCATCAATATACCCCAGTCATGTTAGCATATATACCATACATGGATCCTCTGTGAAGAGTGAATATTATTTGATAGTGAATATCCGCGAATGTGCATCGTTTTTTTTTGGGGGCAGTTGTCATTCAAGACATTTCAAGAGGCAGCGAATCCGAACGTTGAGGGGCAACACACCTCTTTGACATCTTCAGCCTGCAGGTGATGATGATCCTGAGATGCTGGTTGCTGGCACAAGATATCGCTGAAAAAAGCACTGCAGATGTGTTGCAGAGCTGCTGGTATTGTTTTTGGGCACAGGCAGGCGAAATCACTCCCCAAACTATCAACTTGTTTGTTTGTTTGTTTGTTTGTTTGTGTTATTTGTTTGTTTGTTTGTGTCATGGCTTATTTCTACTTTATGGAGCCAATCGGTCTCACTCCGGCTGATCAGTTGATGTGTGGTTAGTTCTTGGATCCTCTTCGAGGATCATCTCCAAGAGACCGTGTGTTTGAGATCGGTAACCCCCAACCAACCAACCAACCAGGCAAGTAATCAGATGAATAGTTCATGTTGGAGAAAAACACGGACGAAACATGGAACAGAAAAAACACAATGGGAAAGCCATGAAGAGATCATGGAAACAAAACGTGGAAAAACACATGGAACAACCATGCAGAAACAAGCACCATTAAAAAAACGCCATGGATTAACAGATATCAACAGTTACTCCAGTCATGCACTCAGCTTCCTCCAAGGCGCGGGACCCCCTTTGGAGTATCTCGCGATTGTCGCACTTCGCACCGCTGCGGGGGTCCTCCAGTGCTAGATTCCGTCCTTTCAACTCGGATCCAAGTGGGACGCATTTTCCACAACTTTCCACAACTTTGTTGTGAAGGCACAGGAAAAGCCACAGGAAGTGGGCCATGTTGCCATCACCAATGGATGGGCTTTCCTATATAGTTTCCTATATCGTTTCCTATTAAAACCCCAGTGGATGGTGGTAAACCAATGGATGGAAACTATAGAAACCCCATCCATCGGTTGACCACCCAGGTTGCAGCCACTCGGGCCAGCGCTTTGGCATCGGCAGCTTGGACCACGTGGACTAAAGGGATACGTCGATGGTGTGGGGTAAAGGTACAACAAGATGTGGAAAACCTATATCCCATAGGATCCATGGTGCTGCTACCCTCTGGTTATGTCAAAATAGCTATTGAAAATGGCCCAGTCGAAATAGTGGATTTTCCCATTGAAAATGGTGGATCTTTCCATAGTTATGTTAGTTTACCAGAGGGTATATATGGTAACATTTACCATCAATATACCCCAGTCATGTTAGCATATATACCAGCACCATGGATCCTATGGGTATGGTTTCTATTGGGAAAATGATCTACGAATGGTCAGTTTGGCAAATCTAATTATGTTGCTTACAGGAGGCTAGATACGAAAAATACTATAAAATTCTAGAAGAAACCATAAGAAACCTATGTGTGGATTCATTGATGCAATCTGTTTCAGCTATGGTCAGATGGTTCATGATTGTACCTTGAACATCGAACCTTGGATGCGAGAGAAGATTCTAGGTTCCAACCTTGGTTCTAGCAATTCTAGCACACAAAAATCCAGTTGGAGGTCTCAAGTTCTCATAGTTCTCACCCACTCAGAATTCCATCAAAATGGCCGATGAGTACAGAATGATTGCAGCCGCAAGCTCAACCGTCACCGGCCCTGTTGCGGGCGAAACCAAACTCGGATGGCACCCAAGAAGCGACCGGCAGCGAAGATCGAATCGAAGATCTCCATCACTGGTGGGAGCTACATTGAGGACCGATGAAATCAGTGGTTCAATGAGCCCACCATCCAGCAATATGGAGGTTTCCTAAAATCCAACATATCCTAAATTAGATAATTTTTTAACTTGAGACCCATGGTTTGGGCGTAATTTCCTTTTTCAAAACTGCCATATCTCGAATTCATTGCAAGTTGAGGTTTTGAAGCGAAGTAGAATGGACTTTGAGAGGACATTGTTGATGATAATGTTGATGCATTTTCTGCAAAAAAGTCACAGGAACATGGTCTCAAAGAATTGCTGGAGAAAGTCTTATCCGAGATTGAGGAGAAAAAGCCCAGTGTGCCTAGGCCGATTTCGGCCGAAGTTTTGTTGTATCGAAATTTGGGGATCCAACTGGCGAAAAAAAATGGCGACCCAAATGTGGGGGTCGCGGCACGCTTCAGTCCCGTTTGGGGTTTGATGGTGGTTTAGCATATTTTAGTATTCCTGCCCTTTTGGTGTCGAATCATTTCATGTTCCATAGCATTTAAGATTGTTTTGATTTGTTTTGTCAATAAATACACTATACACGCACCCTGCCGTTCTGATATGTAAAGTAGTGAAGGCTTCCCTGATTGGTCAAAGGTCTACTGTATATTGCTTTGTTCCAAGGTTTCGGTTTCGTTCCAGATACAACTCCAATCTACGCCAATCTTTACAGTAGGTAGTGAAAGGCGTGCCTGTTGCATGTTTGGCCTGATTTCCTTGGGGAGCAAGAATCAGTAGTCGAGATATCCGAAATTGTTTTAGCTGCTTGTTGGTCACTTTTGCTGGCAAATCGCGTGTTTTGGGTTTCAATGCTTTTTGCTGGAACTTTTTTTTTTGGGTGAGGAAACAATAGTTTGTATCAAAAAGATTCAAAAAGCAAATAGATATTCCCATATGCTCCATGTATGGTATATTTACCTACATTTTGGTGATTTTTAGGGCAAATGTTGGTAAATATTCCATACATGGATCCTATGGGATTGATATGGAAGCTACATTTTGCATAATTCTCCGACATTCCCTGAAGTTATTCCAACTGAAAATAAACTGAGGATCCATTGAAGGCCCTACACACTTTGCTAGAAGAGACATGTGGAGCAAAGAAAGTCAAGAAGGACACGGCACTTAAGCAGTTGCTTTTTATCATCTTGTTGGTGGTTTGGAACATGGCTGGATTATTTTCCATTTCATATATGGGATGTCATCCTTCCCATTGACTTTCATATTTTTCAAGATGGTTAAAACCACCAACCAGTCATGGATATGCTGTGCTTTTCTCAACTGGGTGGTTGAGTATAAGAGGTGGAACACTCCCCATTGAACAACTAATAGCCAAGAAATGGCATGGCCAAGGGTTTGCCAAGCTGGCATTTGTTTCTTTTCTTCACGGACATCACTGCTCCAGCACCCGTAATGCACTCGACAGGGGAAGGGCTCAACATGAGATTGACAGACGGTTTCGCCTGTTCTGGTCGCTTATCATTTGACGCACCTCATATTTGTGTTCTATGGTTGGGTTACCCTCTGGTAATTTAACATAGCTATTGAAAATGGCCATAGAAATAGTGGATTTACCCACTGAAAATGGTGGATCTTTCCATAGCTATGTTAGTAAAATCGCTTATTTTCCTATGTTCAACCCTCCATTTGGGATGAGCCCTGGAATGGAGGCATTTTTTGGGACCCACGAATGGAGGCAACTAGTAACTAGATGTAACTAGTAGTTGCGTGGTAGAAGTCCATTTTATGGAAGTCCAGATTATCCTTTGCGAACCAAACAGGGAGCCAGAGAGTTGAGAAAGTTTGGTGTAATCGACCGACATAGTGGATTTCAAATAATAATTGAGAGAGCGAGAGAGACTTCTAGTATTTTTCTGTACAAAAGTAGCACCAACATGTTCCCCCAAAAGGACCCACGCGTTGGTAAAAAAAATCCATGTATGGAGAAAAGCAATGATCCGCAGTGAAATAGATATTTACCGTTATTTACCATTATGAAATATATGAAATCTACTAATGAAATCTAATTTCTCATATTAGTTGATATTAGTTGTAGAGTAAACTACATGAAACTACCAGGTATTGCCATGGTGCTGCTGCGTCACATCAGCAGCAGCAGGACTCTGCCTCTTGGACCGCCTTTCCTTCGCCGGGCGAAGCCGTGTGGCGCCAGGAAGCACAGGCGATGGAGCTGTCAGAACTGTCCCATATCGATGATTATCAATAATAATAGCAAGGACTATCATCATCAATCATCTACATTGTAGCAATAACCTTGTTATATACTTGTCATATTATTTCTTATTGTTTATTCTTGTATAACAATGGTAATATAATCATAGCAATACCAACGATAGTGTTGGCAATTAATAATAACAATAGTACAATTGATCGACATAGGAATGATGGAATGATAGTAAAGGTGACATTATGGTAATAATCATGATCATACGTGGAATAGCAATGGTGACAATAATGCTACCAAAAACAATAATGATTGTAGTACTTAATCAGATAGTTAATGATAATGATAATAAGTAAGAATAGTAATTACAATCATGATGATAACAATCATTATCATAATGACAATGATAATGATGTTTATATTAATATTTTTAATTATGTTCGTACATATGGCTCTTTATTTTCCTTGGGGAAATCATGGGAATGACATGGGAAAACATCAGACAATTATATGCGGAACATGGGTCGGTTGAGCTGACCAGAGCTACGTTTGCAGGACCCGCGGACCAGCTTTCAGCTGATTTCTGTCAAACGTTTGCTGTACATCCGAATGCATCGATTGGAGTCCAAGTGACCATTGGCAGGACAGTTTTGGTATTGATCACCATTTCAAAACTTCGGGATGTCGGCCATGTTTTGCAAAAACCATCCAATAATATCTATAATATTCTATAATGATATGTATGAACAATGGCCTAAGATATTCCCACCTGATACATTGGCTACACCTGGTGTTTGGATGTTTTTGGGTAGGGCTACGGGGAGAGGGATCAAAAAAAAACAAATAGGGATCAAAAAAAGACAAATAAGGATCAAAAAAAAACAAATAGGGATCAAAAAAAAAACAAATTTGAAACTAAAGGAGGAGAAGGAAGGAAGGAAGGAAGGAAGGAAGGAAGGAAGGCAGGCAGGAAGGAAGGAAGGAAGGAAGGAAGAAAGAAAGAAAGAAAGAAGTAACCTTCTCTTGAAAAATGAAAGGAAAGCTTCCTTCTCTTGACCCCCCCACCCGCTTTTATTTTTTAGCCGGCTCCCCTTGCTACCTACTATTCTTTTTTTCCCAAGCATCATCGTTGTTTATTTGGGTTCATTTAATCTTGATTGATATCCATCGCGACTTGTGCCTATGTACTTCTTTCTTGGTACGCATTGCGGGGGGAGGCGCTGCGCCCTCCCCCCTGCACCCCCACCCGCTTTTTTTTAAATCGGTTCCCCTTGCTACCTACTATTCTTTTTGTTTTTCATAAGCATCACCGGTTATTTGGGTTCATTTTATCTTGATTGATATCCATCGAGATTTGTGCCTATGTACTTCTTTCTTGGTACGCATTGCGGGGGGAGGCGCTGCGCCCTCCCCCCTGCACCCCCCCACCCGCTTTTATTTTTTAATCGACTTCCCTTGCTACCTACTCTCTTTCTTTTTTTTCATATGTATCGTTTCTTTGGGTTCATCTTCTCTTTCTTAATCTTTATTTATATCCATCGAGACTTGAGCCTGTGTGCTTCTTTCTTGGTACGCATTGCGGGGGGAGGCGCTGCGCCCTCCTCTCTGCACCCCCCCACCCGCTTTTATTTTTTCATCAGCTTCCCTTGCTACCTACTCTATTTCTTTTTTTTCGCAAGCATCGTTTATTTGGGTTTATTTTTTATATAATATGTTCATTCTTGCTGCTGCTGCTACTACTGCTACTACTACTGCTACTGCTACTACTACTACTACCACTACCATTACTACTCCTACTACTACTACTGCTACTACTGCTACTACTGCTACTACTACTACTACCACCATTACTACTACTACTACTACCACCACCACCACCACCACTACCACTACCACTACCACTACCACTACCACTACCACTACCACTACCCCTACCGCTACCACTACCACTACCACTACTACTACTACTACTACTACTATTACTACTACTACTACTACTACTACTACCATTACTACTACTACTACTACTGCTGCTGCTGCTACTACGACTACGACTACGCCTACGACTACTATTACTACTACTACTGCTGCTACTACTACTACTACTACTAGTACTACTAGTACTACTAGTACTACTACTAGTACTACTACTACTACTACTACCACCATTACTACTACTACTACTGCTGCTACTACTACTACTACAACTACTACTACTACTACTACTTCTACTACAACTACATTTTTTTTTTTTTTTGATCCTTATTTGTTTTTTTTTGATCCTTATTTGTTTTTTTTTGATCCTCTAGCCAGGGCTACGCCCCTGCCTGAAATGTAATGATCCTTGCCGGTCTGGGTGTGGGGATAACCCAAATATCAGACAAACATGGTGATATGCACAAAAATCAAAACAAGAAAAATATGCAGAGAGACACACACACTCACATGATGCAATTCTGGCATATGTGTAGGGTTGATGAAGGATTATATAATACGTGGTAATAAGTGTATTTATTCAATTTTATTTTCATATGCAATGTATTGAAACAATATACCGCTTCAGGAACGTGAAACCTCCAAGATATCGCTCCTCATGGCAGGCCAGAGCCCGCCTAGTCATGGAGGGCACCTTCCCTGGCAAGGCTGAGATCGTTTGCAACGGCCACGAGCCACGGAGATTCCCGGTGGATCCCAAGGATACGGCTCTGGAGACTTGGGCCAAACATCGAAGATGCCATAATTATGATATAATATGTCCATATATAGTCCAGCATGTCATCCATCTATGTCATTATATTGTACGTATATACGTATAATATAGTATATATATATATATATATGGTGATCGATCTAAAGGTCCTTGTAAGGAGCTTTAATTGCGAAAGCCGTGCATGTTATGTTGGAAACCCTCGCGAAAGTTTTTTTCGAATTCGCGAAAGTAAAATTTTATTTCGCGAAAGTTTCGCGAAAGTTGGGTATTATAATCATTATATGTAAAGGGTTGCCACCCACTGCCGCCCGGGGTCCGGCAGGAAAAGGGCACCAGAGAATGCGAGTAGCAGTAGCCAAGTTTCCAAAAGTGAGGCTTTGCGAGAGCCAAACACCAAGGCCCCTGGTCTTCGCTTTTCCTTCAGTGCACCCCCTGCTGATGGCCGGGGTCTGTGAATAGGGATATTTTCGCGAAAGTTCCGCGAAAGTTATGCGAAAGAGCGGGCGAAAGTCAAAGTGCATGTTGAAGGGGGTGGGCCAGTAAACTTTGCAAAAAAAATTGTCCTGAGAAGGGATTCCGTGATGCTAGCTGCATGTTTAAAAGGCTACCAAGAAGTGATCCTTGATTCTCTGGCGTAATTTGGCAGGTGGTGAACGAATCTTCATAAGAGGTGTTGTTGGCCAACATGGGCCCCGCGAAAGATAAACATGGAGTTCGCGAAAGTTTCGCGAAAGTAAAATTTTTATTCGCGAAGAATGGCCGTTCCGGGATAAAGGAATTTTGATCAACAACCATATATATATACATATATATATACACATATCTTATTATTATACTGTACTTGTATTAGATTATATTACCGTATATTTTATTATGTGACATTTTCTTCTGTTGCGCCAAGCTCTGCCCTGAGGTCCTGATCGACATGCAGTGGGACTTCTTGGAGCCCACGGGCCGCGTCGGTCAGCACTATTCAGACCTCACATCGGCATCTCAGCTGCGGCAGTGGAGAACTTATCCATAGGAAAGATGGTGATTTGTTGCCAACATATTGATGGTAGTAGAATATGCGGATATCATGGGATAATATCTATATGATTCTGTGTATATATATAATACATGTAATAACTATTGGCATTAATCATCCTATAATCACGGGATATGAACTGGATATTAATCCTATATATATATATATGTACATATATGCACATATGGAGGTTTCTTGAAATTGGGGTAACTCCGATTTTTATCCAAGTCATGGATGACCATGACTTAGTATATTGAAGCTATATATATATAGAAAGCGTTTGATCCAGTCTCGTTTGGCACTTGCACTTAATACATCTTAATACAGGTGTACGTATTAACATATACCCTCTGGTAATTTAACGTAGCTATTGAAAATGACCATTAATAGTGGATTTTAAATGACCATTAATAGTGGATTTTCCCATTAAAAATGGTGATTTTCAATAGCTATGTTAAATTACCAGAGTGTAATTTGCATTCATTTGCACAACAATGACATGCACTGGAAGGTTGATGAGATTTTCGTAAGAAACCATTGGCTATAAACAGATCCCATGATGTGGACTGCGTCGCCATGACTGAAATTCTGTCTCACTTAAATTGGATGGGCTTGTCAAGTGCCAAACAAATCAGTAGACTTACCAGGATTTATGGCAGATATTATATATTACTATATTTATATAAGTTTTTGGGGACTAAATCGACATGAATTTTCTGAACTCAAGACTACTTAAGTCACATGTAGTTGGTGCTTCCTACGAGGATCTTTGGAATACCTTGCAGCAACTAGGAGCCATAGGCAAAAAACCTCGGCGGCGTCAATCACGATTTCAACAGGCCATGCAACTTCCAGATGGTTCTTTGGTCACTGCTCCGGACGAACTCGCATTGAACTGGCAGGCCCACTTTGCCTCCATTGAAGCAGGTGATTTGATCTCACCTGCACTCTTGCGTGCTTTGTGCTTGACGCGGCAATCCATTCAACGTCCGCCTCTGTTCGATGTTCAGCCGGAAGATTTGCCCACGCTTCATGAAGTAGAAAGAGCAGTACGATCGCTGAACAAGAAGAAGGCCACTGGACCTGACCAAATTCCAGCGGCTTTCCTTTCAGAGTATGTGGTCCAGCATCTTTTATATCCTGCTGTTCTCAAAGCTTTCGTCACTGGAAGGGAGCCTCTTTCTGCCAAAGGAGGCCTTGAGATAGCCTTATACAAAGGGCGCGGCCCTCGATGCCAGTTTGGGTCGTACCGTGCTATCTTGTTGAGTGACCTGGTGGGCAAAGTGCTACACAAAGTTGTTCGCAATCGGATCTACGAAGCAGTCTCCAACTTTGCTCGTCCCTTTCAATTGGGTGGCTTCAAAGGCATGTCCCCTGTCTTTGGTAGTCTTGGTCTTCGCCTTTTCCAGAGAATAGCCGTGGCTCGTCGTCGGTCCTTCTGCGTGCTTTTTGTTGATGTGAAAGGCGCATACTATGCTGCCTACAGGCAACTGTTGGTTTCAGCTTTGCCCCGCTCAGGGACCTTGTTGGCTTTAATTGACCAGCTTCCTGCATCTGATTTGGTGAAGCTCCGTTTGCGACAACGGCTTGACGAAGCCAATCTCTTGCAGAAACTTCCTCTCTCCCCAGCTTGGCGTGCTTTTTGTGAGGAAACGCTGCAAGATACTTGGTTCTCAACCGAAGGGGCCCCGAACTTGATTTTGACTCAGAGAGGATCCAGGCCTGGCGATCCATTGGCTGACTTGCTGTTTGCCGTCCTACTCAGCGACTTAGATCAGGAGCTTCACCGCTCACTCCAAGCTGCTGGGTTCATTGATGCCCAGCCTAGGTTGGATTTCCAAACAGGTTCCCTTGACGGCCAGGAGCCTCTTCCTTCTATAATATGGGCTGATGACATGGCAATACCTCAGAGTTTTTGCTCTCCCAGCGAGTTGTATTTCAGACTTCCAGACCTGTGCCGCATAGTTTTCGAAGTTTTTGCTTCGTACGGCATGCAGCTTTCTTCCGGATCTGGGAAGACGGAAATCATTTTGCGGTTTGTGGGATCGCATGTTAAAGCCTGGTCTCATCGCCTTTTTGACATAGATCAGGGCTTTGTGACCTTCCCTTTTGCTGGTGAATCAATCAAGATCAATGTGCCCAAAGACTACGTGCACCTTGGTTCAGGCTTGGATTCCAAGGGCAAACTTCATTTCGAGATATCCAGGAGAACTGCCAGCTCACGAGAACCTTTGCGATTGCTTCGGCCTCAATTGCTTCGGTCCCGGAGTGTCAGCTCTCGCACCAAGCTGCAAGCAGTGCGCTCCCTGGCTCTTTCCAGATTGCTGTACGGAGTAGAGTCGTGGCTATCTTTGACTTTGGCATCTTTTCGGATGTGGTCTTCAGCCGTGATAGCCATCTATCGCTCAGCATTGCCGCGCAGACTTGATTGCTTAAAACCTTTAGCCAAAGATGAAGTTTTGTCCCAAACTTTCTTGCCAGATCCTTCTCAATTGTTGGCGTTGTCTAGGCTTCGCTTTTTGGGTCAATTGGTTCAATTTGCACCCCAGCAACTTTGGTCTTTTATTTTTTGGGAAGCTTCTCTTCACAGTGACTCCTGGGCTGATCTTGTGAATGATGACCTGGCTTGGCTGCAGCGTCATGTGCCGCTGGTAGACCCTTGTCCTGCAGAACGTTTCCCATCACACTCCTGGTTGGCTTGGCTTAACATGGTGGGAGCACATTGGCATGGAAAACTGAAGAAGACGAATCGCAGTGCCGTGCGATATCGTGTGGACGCTCTTGCTTGGCTGCAGTGGAGAACCCACTTCTTCAGCATCCTTGAAGAAGCAGGATTGGTTCCGCCGGTTGCTGCGTTGCCAAGCACCCTGCATTGCTGTGACTTGTGTGATGCCAGTTTCGCTTCCGTCAAGGCATTGGCGCTGCATTGTGCACACAAGCATGGATGGCGAGCTGCTGCGCGGGCCTTCTGTGATGGACCTGTTTGCCATGCATGTGGGATGAACTATCGTTCCCGGCCGAGATGCCTTCGCCATTTAGAATACCGCAGGACGGGGTGTTTGACTTCGTTGATGCAGGTGTTTGCTCCTATGCCGCAGGAAGAGCAGATCCGCTTCGATAAGTGGGATCTCCATCAAAAGAGAGCCGCCCGAGCGGATCCTTTGCTGAGACGTGAGCTTGCCTTGCCTTGCACGCGGGAATTTGAGCCTGCTGCAGACCTTCGGCGTCTCTTGCCAATTGAAAAGGCGGAATCTCAACAAGCAGTCGATCGCGAGATTGTCCAGCACAGGGACCATCACTGGATGAAACTGAAAGAGGCCCTTGTTGAAGATTCAGAGCGCGCCTTTGCTGTGACGGCTTCCAGCAATGTCCTGAGCTCTGCTTGCTCTCCACGGCCTGTTCCGGGGACCCCAGTGTATCTGGTGTTGCATCTTTTCAATGGTCAGCGTAAGCACGGCGACTTACAGCATTGGCTTGAACATTTTACTGTGGATCAGCCTTTTCGTTTGTTGACCTTGTCATTGGATGTGGCCATTGACCCTGTCCACGGGAACCTTGCTGATGCTGATACATTGAGTTTCTGGTGCACACTTTTGCGGGAGCATTTTGTTCACTCTCTTGTAGCGAGTCCTCCCCACAGCACTTGGGCTGTTGCCAGGCATCGTGAGCAAGCGGCTCTTGGCGAGGATGGCGAACCTCTTTTTCAAGTGAGACCTATCAGGTCAGCAATGAGCCCTTTTGGTTTGTGGAGTTTGACAGATTCTGAAGAAAAATATCTTTTTAGTGAATCTGAATCCTTGAGAGCAGCTTTCACTGCAGCTGCTACTCAGGTTGCTTCCGGCCATACTGGTATAATAGCTCACCCCAGTGTTCCTGATTTATCAGAGTGTGCGTCTATTTGGAAGTTGCCATATACGAAGGCCTTGCTTGCTTTTCCGGCTGTTAAACGGCTGTATGTGGAACAGGGCCAATTCGGTCAGGTGTCGCGCAAGGGGACTCACTTGCTTTCAATAGCCTTGCCAGATCTTGAGAGTTCATTTCAACAGTTGGCTCAACCCATGGCTATTTCCAAAAATAGTGTTGGTTGGAACTCCCACAATCTGACTTTTCGCACTGAGGCCTTGCAGGCTTATCCTTCCAGGTTCAGTATGGCCATGGCCCGGTCAATTGTGCACGCAGCAGTCCATGCACATAAGACTGGCAGGTTGAGGGATATCCGGCATGACCCCCGATTTGCTAGAGTTCATAACTTGTATGTTGGTTCCATCAAAGGGGCTATGTCCGGGGACCTCTTCACGGGGATGGCACGAAGAAAGGATGGTCTGGATGCCCCCCTTCCCACATTTAATTAGGTGCCTGTCCGCCTACGTCGTTCCGACATTGTGGCGTGGAAATGAGGAAAATGAGGAAAAATGATTTTTATCCAAGTCATGGATGACCATGACTTAGTAAATTGAAGCTATATATATATATATAGAAAGCGTTTGATCCAGTCTCGTTTGGCACTTGCACTTAATACATCTTAATACAGGGGTACGTATTAACATATACCCTCTGGTAATTTAACGTAGCTATTGAAAATGACCATTAATAGTGGATTTTAAATGACCATTAATAGTGGATTTTCCCATTAAAAATGGTGATTTTCAATAGCTATGTTAAATTACCAGAGTGTAATTTGCATTCATTTGCACAACAATGACATGCACTGGAAGGTTGATGAGATTTTCGTAAGAAACCATTGGCTATAAACAGATCCCATGATGTGGACTGCGTCGCCATGACTGAAATTCTGTCTCACTTAAATTGGATGGGCTTGTCAAGTGCCAAACAAATCAGTAGACTTACCAGGATTTATGGCAGATATTATATATTATTATATTTATATAAGTTTTTGGGGACTAAATCGACATGAATTTTCTGAACTCAAGACTACTTCTGGGCACTTGCTGTTGGCAACATACCCTCGCATACCATTCCGCCAGGTGCGTTCCGGCATGGACGGCTGTGAGAAACTCTTGGAACTCTGTCGCGAGAACGGCTTCACCATTGCACACAGCCGGTCCCATCGCTATGGAACACTGGTGAAATCAGAGTTGGTCCCTAGGCTGGATGATGCTGGATGGATCTAATCCCTTCCCCCTAATATTACCACAGTAAACACCCCCAAACGAAACCATGCTTTAGCAGGGAATTTCCACAGAATTGAGACCTTTTTTAGTGGGCCGTTTTCATATTAGGGGATGGGATCTAATTGAAGGATCATTGCCACATTCCGGTGACATCATTGGGATGATGTTAAGGGGAATCATCCCCAAATGACCGATCTTTTCAGGTTGGTACCCTCTGGTAATGACTAACATAGCTATTAAAATGGCTATTTATAGTGGATTTACCCATTAAAAATGGTGATTTTCCATAGTTATGTTAGTTTACCAGAGGGTAATTTCTAAGTTCATCCAGAGAAATGGCATTTGACAAAGATGAAGTCCAGCTGCCCCGGCCCCGGCGTTGATTTCCGTGCGTCCACGATGTTACACCTGAACGGTTTTTATGTTTGCGCCAGCACATATGCATCCTTCTGTTTGTTGGTACATATGAATGAGATGACACCCTGGGGCACCCCCAACAAGATAGGGAGATTGGGTAGTTGTGTGGGTTGATCGATGCCAATTTTTGGGCGCCAAATCCATTGCTTTCCCAACTTTACCCCTCACGAAAAACGAATAACTTGCATGATAATTGTGGGTCCATTTTGAGAAACCCTCATATCCATTCATATCCAAAAAAACCGGTCGTTCTCCCTATAACTTGGTTCAGAAATCCCATTCACTACGGGCATATCTACCATGAAACATCATGAAACATCATGAAAGCAAGGTGGGCACAGATGATGAAGGCTATGAGCTCCATCCCCGCTTCCGTGCACGAGAGGGGGAGATCGTCGTGGCTCGCTTTGAATGATGGGTTTTTGCATTTAAGGAATCTCCAAAGATGGTGTTTGTTTGCTTGTGTTTTTCTGATGTTTGATTTGTATACAATTCTTTGCCCATCTTTGCCCATATGTTTTTATTTGTTTGTTTTTAGGAATTGAATATAACTAACTAGATATGATTACCGTTGAATCATGTGCCAGTTGCATGAATGGGGAATGAAAGTCATGAAAGCAGATGCTTTTGATGACCCAACTATTTACTGAACTGGATGCACATTCCTGAAACAATATTCCACTTGCATGACCTTGCGCAGCACTCCTACTTGCTGTTGGCTCAACTATAATTGATATATCTAGCAAGAAACACATTGTCACTCATTAATTGTGTATTATATTGTGACTTTATATATGTACTGTTATAGTGTTTCATGTGCATCATAACAATGACACTTTCAGCAATGGTACATTCAAACAAGTGGTGGGTCATGCAGCCGAGCCAAGGTAGATAAGTGGACCTATGGTGCCTTTGCATCCACCCACTTGGAAAGGGAGCTCATGGCTCGCGGCGTGAAACGAATTTTGTTGTGCGCCTTGGCAGGCAGCAAGGATTTGGAACTTGAAGTTTGTAGACCTAGGCCTAGGTGATTCATTTATTTGCATGAATTCAGTATATGTTTATTGATGATAAAAGATATGTTTGAGTTTAAGGATAAGTGTTCATGATAGGTGATGCATTTTTCAATGCAGGAACACATGCACTGATTCTTAAAATGGTCAGCGTCAGCTGTGAAGGCCTCCTTGGTCGCTCAGGTGGTGTGTTGACCAACGTTTGTGTTTTTGCGACCGCATCACAAGCCGTGGATCGCCTCATTTCGGTGTGTTTGGTGGAAGACGCGTGTGCTGCCTTCAGCTTTGATTGGCATAAGACCCTCGGTTCGGCAATCGCCGGGAGCTAGTGACATCTCAAAACCAGGCACCATATGGCACCATAATCGGCCGATGTTTATTTGGTGGTTTCACAAAAAAGGTTTCAGTATTGTTTCAGTTCTCTCTGAAAAATGAAACAACATGATCCCAGTTGACTGCCTCGTTTCGTTTGGGGATGGATGGTTTAACCACCAGAAACCTTGGATATCCGCGAGGATCCGCGCAGATCACTTCCCAAGCTCATCCCAAGCCCAAGCCAGTGTCACCATGACGACGACGTGCATCCCATACGAAGTGCTTTACAACCAAGAAATGTATACAATTGAATAAATAGAGAGAGATGTTGTGAGGGAGAGAAATGTTTCTGTGTGTATAATTGTATGTAATTATAATAATTATATAGATATAGGCTAGGTATATAATGTATAGATATATATATATATATAAATTATGAATAAAGAAGTATTTATATAATATGATATAACTCACTTTGTTCACATACATATTATATGTATATATGTGTGTTTTCATAGAACTGGCGTTCTCTGCTAATCCCCCCAGGAAGGCCTTGGGCCTGATCAACGAGCCCCAAATCCAGCCGGGTCACAAGCGCGGCGTGGGGCTCTACTTCGGCGAGATCACGCAGGTGGAAAAGGTTGAGGCGGCCTTGATCCTTGGACCAATACGTTCGTGGCCGCCAGGGGCTTAACCATAGTGCCCCTATGGTTATATGGATAGTTATATATGGATTATTAGTATGGATTATATATGGTTGTATATGGTTATATTAACATATCCTTATACAATGATTATTTATATATATATATATATGGATTATATATATATATGGATTATATATATATATGGTATTGTTCATATGACTATTACCATATCAATACTACCATATCAAGAACTATTTCATCAAGTTATACCAATGAATCTTAGAATATATCCTTAGACATGGATAACACCCCTTGATATACTACTGGTGTCTTTCTGGAGGGGTTATACTTGGTGTTATACCAGCCGCGTTATACCATGTGGCCATTTTTTTGTGACCTCACTGGAATGATGGTTAGTAAACATAATCATCTCCAAATGAGTTTCGTATTGTTTAGACTGCACCTGCGCCCGCGTAAGCAAAAAGTGTGGTCGGCATAGCCCTGCTTAGCCTTCGCGTAGCCTCCGCGTAGGTACCCTCAGAACCATGCTCAGCGTAGCCTACTTGTGCAGTCCGCGTAGGCTTGCGTAGCCTCTCCGCGAAGTTCCGTTTTATGCACATCCCCAAAAAAAAAGGCTCAAATGGCCTTATTCCAAGTTAGTGACATATGACAATTGACCATTAATTTACCCAGTAATTTACCCAGATACCATCATTGTTGGGGGGATTAACCATGTCTATATTGGTGGTTTATTATGCCATGGTTAAACCGTTGGACATTTGAATCTTGTTTAACCATGCTATTGTAGTTTTTCTTGACCATATCAAGTCACATTTTTTCGAAGCACCACACTGCAATCTGCATAGCTCAAATATGGCCTCCAGTCCACCAAAGTCCCAGCATCAATACCTACAAAATTCTATAAATCCATATTCAATCACCAATCAACAGGGCTATAAAAATTCATGGCTCTGGCTTGATACTGGAACCACTGGAAGGGATGATCACTGGCGATTAGAGAAAACACTGGCTATGATAGTGATGTGAAACTCCCCAAAGTTGTTGAAATTTGATGATAGGCATTGGTAGGCTAATGTTGATTTATGTTGATTTGTATACTTTGCATTTGGGTTGCGGATATTCTGGCCAAAAACTTTTGCGTATTTTCAGGATGCTGGAAATGTGTGTACAACAATAATCAACAATATGCAAGCAGACAAGTTTGTTCATTATTTAAATTAATATATATATATATATATACATACATATATTTATGATTATATACATGTAATTGTTATACATTGATGTGTGTATTTATTGATATATATATATACATGTGTGTGTATATTTATGTGTAGATACAGATTTTCATATGTATATTTAAACATACATATGTTATATATATATGGAGATACATTTATATATATAATACACTATTGATACATCATATCATGAGGATGTCAAGCCCCCACTCACTTTCATCACCTGCATTTGCCTTGAACATGTCCACTTTGGCAAGGAAAGACATGAAGGAGTGAGAAAACAACCTGAGGCGAAGCGGCGGGCTAGCAGCATTTGACCTTGCTGTTTTTTTTCTATCTTTAAGATCTATACAGAATCTTTTGACGCCTTACTTCGCCTGCATCTGCGAGAAGGAAAACATGGATTCCAGACCTGAAAACAGCGCAGGATGGGATGATAGCAATGGCCTTGGTGAAACAGCGACACCTCCCAGCCACTGAGGCCTGCTCTTTGTGAAGCTGAGGAGAATCGGGGCTGGGGGTCTGATGGGATTTCCTTTCAGATTTTTGTTCGTTTGTGAGAGGGGGCATCCTATCTTTCCAAAGCCTCACAAGGAGCAGCAAAATTCATAGCCATTTTTCAGGCACATTTGTCAAGAAGGACCCGTGAACAACTGAATATTGGTTCTCTCAGCCCTGTCAATGTCGGAATTTGGTAGTCGAAGTACTGTTGGCCATTTCATCAGAACAGGCTTGGTGGGAGTGCCCAAATGAGTACTGTATGTACCGGCCGAGGAAACAGGTCAAAAGATAAGTGTTTGAACATGCCAACGGTACATTTTATAGGAAAATGATGGTAAAGCAATGAGTGTAGGGATACTCTTTTCAGGCAAACCCAGATGATCATTGATTTTCCAAGCTCCACCCATCTCCAGTTGTGGCCCAGGATGTGTTCCATGCATGCTTCGATGAGACTCACAGCTGTGCCAAATGCTGCGGTCACCCAGCCTGAGTACTGCTTCCACACATCATCTCATCAGAACCAACTCAATGGGTTTTAAAATTGTTACTATATCATACTAAGTACTATGTTTTTACTGCAGGTTTACTGCATCAGAGATTGCACTAGTCCAAGACCAATCTCTGGTGATTTCTGGTGGCAATGTCCTTCCCATGAAAAATGTCATTCCGGCCGACTTCCGAGACGGAGGATGTTGGTGGAAGAGACAATATACACACTTACAGATAGACACAGATATGCATTTTATGCACCGTTTAAGATGTTTAAGTATGGATTCATGTTTCCAGGCAAACCATGGATCTTCCCGTGTTTGTGTTGGTTGATCTCAGGGTCAATCTCTTCATCCCCAGTTCCATGCTACTGGAGGCTGCGATCCCACCAAAGGTCCTTCGGGCGATGCGACTTGCTGGGCAGGGGTGACCCAGTGGCAGGTTGCGAGGAGCTGTCGAAATGGAGAACTACTGGGGTCGTTCCTGCCAGATGCTCGATGAAGAGGTCTAAACATTGAAAGCCTCAAGTCCCAGGGTCCCAGACCCACAGGACCCGGGCAAACACTATCGTAGTCCTCCTGACACCAGCTTTGGTGAAGATGTTTAGAAAAAATGATGAACACCTGAAGTAAAGAAGCCTCTGGAACCTGAGGCTGGGTGGAAAAACTACAACACGCGCCTGGGAGAGAAGAGTGGGGCAGCATGTGATGTACCACTTTGAAGATGTCAAAACACAGCTCTGATTGTTGGAAACAAATAGTGTGTAATATACATATTACATATGTATATATATACTGTATATATATATATTATGATTATTGATGTTTCTAAATATTAATAGATAGGTCATACCTCCAACATGACAAAAAAAACACTCCAGCAGGTCAGGTCATCCCTCGCCATATGAGGTGCTGTGGTTTGTCCTCGCGACATTGGGCCGGTTGTGGCTGGCGAGGAGGGGATCTTTGGGCACACGAGTATTTTTCGCTGGGAGCTGAGCTATGAAGCGGACTGCCATGGAAGAGACAGCCATTGATTTGGTGATTTTAAAATATTTTAAGTGCTTCAAGATGGTGCCATGTGGGAACCCATGACTCATGACTCATGAGCTGGAGATTCTCAGGTGAAAACCGTTTGGTACTTGAAATGTGGCTCCAGTGCAGCGCTGCAAAGTAGCAGCGGAATGGTAATGTTTCCTGGCCCAGCTCAAATGAGGCTTGAGCCTCCAAGGTTGGGCAGTGCGTAAACCCAGTTCACCAGGTGTAGCCCTGGGGTCTGGAAGGTGATGGTCCTATTAGAGATCGCAATAAATTGGGATTCATCAATGAATTAAAATTCAGGGCTTGTATTTGTTTCATATTTTGTTTCAATGTTTAATGGTCATTTAATGGTCATTTAATCATCACCTTCTCTCTCGCTGTGATCTACTGAGGTGCTGCTCAATGCCATCATCGATGTGAAGAGGATCCTGGCTGCGGTGGTTGGACGCACTTCCCTGGAGACTGGGAACCCATTGGTTGCAGGCGCTCAAGTGACGCAAGTGACGCAAGTGGAGTGGTGACCCAAATGGTTCCAAATGGTTCCAACATCGCCTGGATGGTCGGAAAAGATGTCAACAATAAGACGTGCATTGGAAATTACCTAATGAATACAGTTGCATCATGTTGCATCATGTTGCATCCAATGAACACTTATAGTTGACTATCGAATCTAATCCATATATTATATGTGGGTAGAATCTATTTGTCAATCAATATGCAGATATATATACACACATACATACATACATACATACATACTTACATACATACATACATACATACATACATACACACATACACACATACACACATACACACATACACACATACACACATACACACATAATGAAATAGTGACATTTACATTGGTAGTTTTTTTTTTATGCTGGCACTGATGACAACTTGTTGGGTGGATCCTGTTGCGTAGGCTACCCGTGGCGGCCATCTTCGCACTGCGACGGGTGGGATGTCACAAGTGGAGTGCTGGCACCTGATCAGGTTGAGCTCAAAAACTTTTGGGACCCATAATTATTTCGAATTTCTTGGAAATAATCGACTAAAACTATATACTACATATAATCATATAATTATATATATAAGTATATAATGTACATATATATATGTACATTATTTTACATTATATACTTATGTCCATGTATGATTACTGTATGCATGTATCTGTGCATATATATATATCTCTCTCTCTGTGTGCCTGTGCATGTTATATATATATAAATCACAGATACATGTATATTTGACCCAATTTTTGGGCTCAGCTGAAAGTTGGCTTGCCAGTATTTTCAATTGGCGCTCAGGTTTGCATCCTGAGGGTGACGGTAGAGGAGCCTCGCGTGAAACGGAAATGGTCTCGGTATGTCCAAGCGGCCTAAAATTGGTAATGAAATGTAATTATATAACATGTTTGCCATGCACAAGAAAGTGTCTATGGAATTCAGCCCATTGAAGTTACTGTTGAACTTGAACCCGCATATTCCCAGACCTGTCCTTGAACATGTTCGCTGCAACCCTGACGTTGCGCCGCATCTGACTTCAGGTGGCTATGAAGATAAAGTTGATGTTATTACCCCAATCATCATATTGTTCAGAGGGTGTGGCTAATTTTAATGTGATGGTGATCATGATGTGATGATGATGATGATGATGATCATCATCATCATGACGTTTTTAAGTGTGGAGCAACGTCCGGGTTGTGGCGAACATGTTTTTACTGACAAGCCTCCGGCAAGGCACCGCCCACGCTGCATGCTGGAATCGTTTGGGGATATCGAGACTGTGAAGAGCCAGGCCATAGCCAGACTCATAGATGGTGACTACCCTCTGGTAAACATACCAAAAGCTATTGAACATGGCCATAGAAATAGTGGATTTTCCCATTAAAAATGGTGATTTTCCATAGTTATGTGGCAGTTTACCAGAGGGTATCCATTGGCGTCCCAACTCTTCCAGTTGTTTTGCATCGGTGCCACGTCAGATGGCTGCGTCCGATACGGGGTAGATCAGCTTGGACAGGACCCGTTTCGAGGATGGAAGAGATGTCGTGACCCTCGAATCCTTGGATTGGTCACAGGGTACAGAAAACCATGAGGTTTTACCATGTTTTACCATGAAATAATTATGATGATCATGATGATGGTTTCCCCAAAAAAAGGATGATGTTGGAATGAGTCAGCAGCCTCTCAGCCCGCAGGATGCTGCATTCTTGAAGGAAGTGCCCAGCCTCGCTGCATGCCAAGACCTTTGGACATCTTTTTGCACTAGCAAAGATAGATCTTGTTACCATTTTGTTGGCTCATTTTTACACCATGTTTTAGAGGTCTCCTTATGAACCGTCTTGGGCTTACCATGTCCTTTGTTTGCGATAGTGCTGAGGTCGTGCGCGTTGTCAGGAGATGGAGGACGACCCTCCGAGGGCACATCCCCGATTTATCCCGATTTCTAGATTCTAGATGATGCCAATTGATGTCCCGGTTGAACAATGGATGAGCGAAGGGCCATTGGCCAATCATCATGCTGCCCCTTTGAGATCCGCCAAACTCTCAGTCTCATCCGACCACAAGTTGACGATAGCTGCCCGATCGCTTGATTAATTATGCAACTCATTCTGCCATGCCATCCATGCCATCCATGCCATCCAGGAATGCAAAGTTTTTTCCTACTTTCCCGACAGCTACGTTGGCGATGCGAGACTGGAGTGTGTAACTGGGACCTGGGATCAGACATGTCGGTCCATGATCAGACATTTTTTCGCATCACGCTTCATGAACAGTTCATGAACAGTTCATGGAGTTGATGCTTTTTGTGTTCGTTTTCCTAGTCTGTTTTTGTTTTTGAGCCAAAACCACATAACGACCAGAGTGCCTTGCCGGTAGTTCTCCCATGTGCGGGTCGCAGGTGATGCCTCTGGGTGTGCTCCAATGGTGGCGAAGTCGGTGTTTGTTAAAGGCCGGTAGCACTGAGCAGCCACTGATGCTGCCAGTGGGCAATGTCAGGGCCACCCAGTGCTTTTTGTTGCGCCATTTTATGGTGGGAAACGATGACAAACCAACTTTGGGTTCTGTGGATGTTTCATCATTCTTTGGTATGATGATGTTGGTGATTATGATGATGATGATGATGATGATGATGATGATGATGATGATGATGATGATTGTATGATGGTGATGATGGTGATGATGATTGTATGATGCCATTTGAGCCATGGCTTCTGCTTGTTTTGGATGAAGCCATGGCTTCGGACTTGTTGGAGATTTTTCGACCTGGACCTTAGGTCGCTTCTGGCAGCCGCCATTGCTCACCAGCCAGGCTGAAATTCCAGCATATTTTTAAGGTGACCGTGAGACATTTACCCTCTGGTAAACTATAAATGGTCATTTTCAATAGCTATGTTAAATTACCAGAGGGTAAGCCATGATTCATCATGACCCCAGAAAAGATAAACCGACCATTTTGCCCTGACCTTGAGAGCTGCGTGTGTGGCTTTCAGGCCGTGGCTACGATGGGCGAATGAGTCCATTTGGGATGATGTGCTAGCTGTGGTGATCACACTCAGGGGGTGGGCCATGACAGTTCCAGAATTCTGTTGGTGCTTTGAAATAATGAAGGGGGTGATATCATATTTTCATATATTTTCATATTTCTTCTGTGTTGTCCATCTTATGTAGGCTAGTAATATCATATGAATTCATATAGTAATATCATAATTATATATATGTGTGTATTCAATAATTTCATATTTTTTCGGTGTTGAAACCACCAAGTAGATGGGCATAGTTACCTTTCCATAAGGGGCCGCCATATGAGCCAAGGATGGAGACTACAGACGAGAGAAGTGCGTTACAAGGCGCCATGGCTGACAGATTCCCGTATCGTCTGCAAAATTCATCAAAAATCCTGGTGATGGCGATGGAGATAGAGAAATGACATCAACGGGAATCTGTCAGTGACAGTGCGCATGATGGAGAAATTTTGGGACCGACATTTCTAAGATTTTATCGTCAAATAGCTTGATGAAGTTGCTTTGGTGCCCAAGATTGGAAGGGGCCCAGGTTGAGCTCCATTTAGATCCATTCAGAATCTTCCAGGCAGCCTTGGCGGGTAGATCTAGATCCGGAATATATTGCCCTGACCTCATCTCTGCTGAACCTGAGAGATTTGGACCTCAGAACTCTTTAGATTGGGCTGTCAACCACAGAGTGGCCCGGCTTTGAAGATCTTGAAGCTCTACCCAGATGACAACAATTGAAACAGATTGAAACCACCAATTCAATTCTCACGCTTTGGGTCTCTTCTGGGCCTCTTTCGAGCACGGAAGGTCACCCGTGCCATGCTGTGGACAGGCCCGGTGAGCCTTTAAAAAAGTCCAAAAAATGTGCCTATTTTGCCTATCCAGTCCCAGAAATTGGCGGAATTTCTGCAGGTCAACGATGGTCGTTTCCGCCATTTTTCATCCCATGGAAACTCCGGTTTTCCCCTCAACGAATCCGATAGATCCAGGAGACTTTGCCAACATGCCTTTTCGCCAGCCCTTGACCTACATGGTAGTGCTGGTGGTGAGGGCCCCTGGAGGCAGCCCTGGGATGCTGTAAAGACATGTAAAAACCCAGCCAGTTATAGTTGGTTTATAAGACATGTCATGATCTATATAGTGATATACATCATGGGAAATAATGATATATCTATATAGTAAGACAGTAATGGGGAATAATGATGGATCATGGGAATGATTTTAAAAAAAAACTTAGAGCTGGCTGGGGGTCCCCACATGTCACCAGCTCGTGCATCTCCATTGAGCCTTAGGCTAACGACGAGGAGATCCTTTGCGGGACATCTTATGAAAATTTGGGCCTTGACCCGAGATGACCTGAGTCTGTCGCCGCGCATGGGGTTGAGCGAATGCAATGTGTCCGGGATGGTCCGGGTCAGATTCGGCCCAGTTTGTCATCTCCAGGTGGCAATGCAATGACGATTCAGTGTCCTAAGCCCAGTTCCAACTTAGTTCCAACTTCCGAGCAGAGGCAGTTGATGTACGGCTGGAAGCCCTGTCCAAAAGCTCACATATCTATCATTCGCGTTCCCGTGGCATTTCCTGCCACACACGTCTTGAGAAGACGGTACATAGTTTTTTTTTCTAAGTCTTCTTCCGCTCACTCCCGCCTCGCTAGATTGTTTTTGCATATTGCAGACACAAATCAGAAGTGTTGAAAGACAGACTCTTCCGCTTGCATTTTTTCAACTTGTCTCCAAGAAGGTTTAGCTGCGGAGTAGGCAATTAAAATAGCGAGCGGATGAACACAAATCATGTGAAATCACAGATTTAGCGAATGGCTTCACAGCTTCAAACAGAGTCATTGAAAGGGTTGGAAGGTAATCGCCTTCTTTCATCGTCTTTCTATGTCCATTTGAGGTTCTGAAGATGCTACAGGCAAACCAATCAGATCTGCCTTTGGCTGAGTATGTGAACCGCCACCCAATGACAGAAAGACATGGCGCAAAGGAAGGTCCAAACTGCTGCTCCAATTGATGTTCATGATCGACATCAAACTTTGACATTTAGCCTCACTTGAAAGAAGCTCGTGTGGAAAAGTGCGAATCCGTGACCATGGCTATTGGCTCCAGACCATCTCTCATTTCAGCCATGGTTGTTTCACGGGCCATGTCAGGTGTATCGGGTGCATCCTTTGCATCTGAGGATGAACCCCCAGGTGTTGTGGTCATCGATTCCACAGTGAATGTGGGGAACGTCGGGAAGCTGGATCAGATCCTCTTGAGGCTTGAGAAGTTGGACAAGAATTATGGATATGTCCACAAGTCCATTGAGGCTTTGAGCCAGTCGGTGGATCGCTTGACCGGCCATGTGAGCCATGTGTCAAAAAACACGGCTGACTTGGAGATCGCTGAAAAGCGAAACTCCAGGAAATCCATGTCACCGGCACCAGTGACGAGAATGCGAAATAGCAAACCTGGCACAGTTCTGAGCCTGGTGCAGATGCAGTCAGACTGTTTTCAGGAGATTGTTATGGCCGGTTATATCTCTCACAGGAGAAGTGACGACGATGAAGGTTACCCTATCCTTTTTGTTCATCAAGTTTTTCCATGTTTTTCCCTTTTGTTCTGTTAAGATTGGATTATTGGAATGTCATGGGGATATCGGATGCGTGCCTGGAGAGGACGAAATTAAACGAAATTGAGCAATTGGGAAACAAATCGGATGTCTGAGACAGCACCTGTTTGCTCGTTGAATGTAGGATGTGTAGGCCCTTTCAGCCCCCCAAAAAAGAGGCCTCCGAAAGATCCTTATGAATTCCTTATGCATCCTGAAAGACCGCATTCACATATCCTGATTTCATGTCCCTTGGAGTTGTCAGGCTTGGGCCCTGCTTGCGACACCTCCAGATCTCCACGATCCCTGCGATCCGTGCGATCTGTGGTCTCCGTCGTTCCACCTGATGTGCCCGCAGGAAAAATGACAGAGGTGGACTTGCCTGGGTTGTTGCAGTGCCGCCCCGAAAATGAGGCGATGTCGGCAGAACAGGTTAAACCTCAGGGAAGACCGGGGGTTAGGTGCACCAGTTGGTAACTCTTAGGTCACTATGAACCACTGTAAAGAATGTGATTTGAGAGTGATAAACTATCTACCTATACACCAAGGTGATTGAATTTGAAGGATTTTGTTGGAGTCTATTTCAATCTATTTCATACATTTATCGCCAACCGGATTTTTAAATTTTGCTTGAATCTTGAGGTTGGTGTTGGCACTCACGCCGTACTCACCCAGGATGTAAAGAGGCTCCCTCCCAGGCCTTGCCAGAAAGAAAAACATCATTAAGCACAAATATACATTGAAGCACACAAAATGTACATACTACAGTATAAATAGTATAAGATAATTATATGTTTTTTCCCTCTGGCTGATTGTCCTTACAGCCAACAAATACAGTAAGACTCATCCCACTGAGCTCGCGACGTGCACCTCCTTCGAACTTATCGTTCATAATTGCAATCAAAGACCAGTCAGGTTTCCATTTATGTCTAAATTTACGTGAACCCCCCAAAGATTGACGATTGCAAAACATGGAGGCTTGAAATACATGGCCGCCCAAAGCTGAACCCTGAAAGGCGTATTTAAGTGCATGTTGAAAACTTTAAGGGTTTTGAGGCCGAATGGTGCGGCATGTTTCGCAGCCCCCGTTTTTGGCCCAGCCGGGGGAAGGCAACAAGGAATTGTAGCCACAGTTTGCGAAAACGCTGAACCAAGGCAGCTCAGGAAAAAGAACTCCCGGCACGAAATCAAATTGGACAATGAAATGAATGAGGAAAAAGGCCCAAGGAGTGTATCCAAGCATTCCGGTTCCACGACCCCAGGAAGACTCATTGACACTCTGAGCAACGGTCCCATTCGACATCGGTAATATTGCAAGGTGATAAGATAATTATCTATGTGTTTGTTTGTTTGTTTGTTTGCCTGCCTGCCTGTGTCTGTTTGTTTGTTTGTCTGTTTGTGAGTTTGTCTGTTTGTTTGTCTGTCTGTCTGTCTGTCTGTCTCTGTCTGTCTCTGTCTGTCTCTGTCTGTCTCTGTCTGTCTCTGTCTGTCTCTGTCTGTGTCTGTCTGCCTGTTTGTTTGCTTGTTTGTTTGTTTGTTTGTCTGTCTCTCTCTCTCTCTCTCTCTCTCTGTCTTTCTGTCTTTCTGTCTTTCTGTCTCTGTCTGTCTGTCTCTCTCTGTCTTTGTCTCTGTCTCTGCGTCTGTCTGTCTGTCTACACTATCTATCTGTATATATATATACACATGTTCTGACCGTTTTATTCATTCATGTTTGGTCTATTGATTAAAGATTCAACCTATCTATCTAAAACATTCTAAAACTATCTCTGTATCTGTTTATCTCTATCTCTTTACAACTTTATCTCTTTATCTCTCTCCCTCTCTTTCTCTTTGTCTCTCTATGTCCTTATTTGTCCATGTATGTCGCCATCTATTTGTCTATCTAGCTATCTATATATCTATCAATCAATTCATCCAATCCATGTATTTATATATATATAGATGTTTATCTATCTATCTTCTCTATCCTGCTATCGATCCTATCGATCTTATCTATCCTGTCTAAATCTATCCAATCGACCTATCTCTATCTCTATCTCTTTGTAACATCTTATATGTCGATATTCGTACCTTAATCTATCTTTACATCTACATCTACCTATTACCCATTGATTAATGTCCATCTGTATATGTATATATATATATATAAATAAATATCAATAGCTGGATATAGCATTGCAGTCTTAGATGTATAATTTGATATATGTATATTTACACATACGGCCTATCTCTATCTCTACCTAGTTGCCTCTATCTCTGAGTCTCTCTATCTAGTGATCTATCTATTTATCTAGGTATCTGTCTATCTAGGTCGGTCTAGATCTACCCATATACATACGTATATATATATATATATACATATGTCCATATGGATTCATAGATACTTGGACAGACATACATACATGTATATACATACATTTATATACATACATTTATATACATATATTGACATATATGTACATATATATATATATATTTAAATATATAATTATATTATTATATACTAATATTAGTGTGTGTGTGTGTCGATCCATTTCTATCTCAGTCTTTTTATGTTATTATACCATATATTATACAATATATATATATATATATTATAACTTATTATATTATATTGTTATTTTATTTTATCATATTGTATTACTGTATATTATTATTATTATATTGATTATATTGTGAAGCCTGACGGGTTTGTAAACCAGTAGTGTGTTAAACCTGCCAGGCGAAAATTCCAAACACCAGCACTTCGCATGCTCCAATGCATACGATGAACGAGGAATCGCAAACGCACATCCTGGGGTCTACGAGCCTGTGCTCCTCACTAGAAGATGATGCTCCACTGGATGCAGGCTCAAGATTGATTCTGGCATTCAACTCAATGCTATATCTTGCTCTAGGCATACCATTGGTATGTGTACTTAGCTTGGCGGTGGCATGCGGCGGTGTTGTCTGTCGGTCGGATACCGGGTTGGCGTCAACAGTGCTTGAGAGCATCATCTATGGCATTGCGGCCAGTCTTTGTGTACGCCACATGACAAGGGCCTTGCACTCGAAGAATCTGAAGCTGGCAACTGGTCGATTACACGCTTTCGTCGCGGAGTTCAAAGTCGATTGGCGAGAGGTATCTGGGCAAGAGGGCTGCAAATACCTTTGCATGTGGCTCTTGGTGGTTCTCATCATCATTGTGGCTCGTTGTTTGGGTATTTGGTGGCTTTTGACTTCAGAAGATTTCTCCTGGGCATGGACACATGTGCTGCCTGCCAGCCTGAAGATTTGTTCCCTTCTGGTCTATGCCTTGTCCTCCGGTTTGCTGACGGCTGCAGCCTACACGCAGTCGTATTTGCTGCTTGGATTGGACAAGTCTTTGGACTGTTGGTGCTCCCACTTGATGGCAATGCCAGAATTTCAAGAAGGTGTCCGGAGCTGGAATGTCCTGCAGGCTCTGCTGAAGTGTGTCGGAAGGGAACTAGCTGGGAGTTTCTTAATCCTCCAGGGTTTTGGGTATCTCTGCTTCATTTTCTTCTTGGTCAGTGGCATCGTCCTCATCTTCAGCCACTTGCCACAAGTATTCGGGGTTGCAAGGCTGGAACCCATTTCCCAAAACTCACTTTATAACTATTTAATAGTTTGAAGTTTGAAGTTTTATTAATATAATTAATTACTTATAATATCGTATAATCACATATATATATATATGTATATATATATATACATATATACGTGTGTGTATATATATTTATATACATACATGTGTGTGTGTGTATGTGTATGCATATGTATATATATATAGATATAGTATGGTCCTTGATAAATTCTTATTTGGGATGATTTGGATGCAAATGTGTGCGTTGAACAGATCAACATAGAGCGTAGGCCAGGGACATTTGGGTCAGAGCTATTCCTGTAGCTAGTCACCCAGTATCAGCCAGTGCATCCCGGTTCCCACTTCTAGCCGTTGGGTCATTGTTGCTTGGTTCCAGCTTTCCAAGGCAATGACTTTGAAGCTTTGCCGCTGATGGTGGAGGTTTTGTCGGGTGTTCCTTTGCTCTTCCTATCGTGCTTGAGCCTACGTTTGTCCGCGCATGGGGCCGCGCTCACGGAGAAGTGCCGGGCCATCCCATCTTTTGTGAACCAGATCCCAGGCAAGCTGATCGATCAAGAAAGGCAATACCTCGTGAGATTCATTGAAGATAGCTCCGCTGGTTTCTTTGTTAGAAATGTCAAGCTCACCCAAGAGATGGTCATGAAACAGGTCTACATTGTCGGAGCCTTGCTGTCAGCGACTTTCAGTGCCTTGTCAAGGCTCCTCGTTTGATATAGCAGTTCAAGGAGCTACGATCTCGCTAGGTCCTGTATGGCTAGAAGGCTAGCCACCTCGAACAATTGGGAGTCCTAGCCTTTTTAGCCGATTTTGAAGTCTTATTTGAAACGTTTCCAAATTAGTTGCAGTCTAATTTAATTCCACTTTAAGCTCCGATGGTGAAACCAGCGCGGGGGTTGCATTCGATAAATCTTGCAACGCTTTTTTTTTCTGTTTCAACTGGCGACTTTGCCAGATCGACGAGGATTCTCTGAAGGGGCGTTGAATTTTTTGAAAGTCTTTCGTTCAAAAAGAGGATGCTGATTTCATGGGCATTTTGGGATCATGTGCATTCCACACCTCCACAGCACTACACGGCCCACAGATGTCCACACATTGCTGTCGCTCGCAACGAGGTCATTGTTCGTAGCATGGGGGCCACTGAAGGCTTCTCACTTTGCGAGTTGGAGTTGCCAGGAGCCCGTAAATGGGTGGCAGATGGGCGGCATGGTGGGAGCAAAGGTGCTGGGGAAAAGTGATGCGCCATAGATATCCACAAATGAACATAAATCACCATCATTCTGCCGGAGGCTTTGGTGCAAGCTCAATCTTGGCTAAATCAAGCTATGGCTCAAGATGATTACACTCAATCAGCATCTTCAGTTTACATTATTCATAAATTATGTTATTATCATAATTGTAAAATATCGTAAATATGTATTGTAATGTATCATCTATGTTATTTATTCATAAATTATGTTATTTACAACCGTTTACTTTAAGCGTTGTGGCTAAAAAAATCCAGCAATCCACAGCAACCACCGAGGCGGGTGGCCCCCATTCCATGTAGCAACTTGCTGCAGCAGGCAGGGGAAAGCCCTCATCCATTGTCCAAGGGAAAACAGATGTTTGATACATGATTGATATTACCCTCTGGTTATGACTAACATAGCTATTGAAAATGACCATAGAAATAGTGGATATTGTCCCATTAAAAATGATGATGATTTTCCATAGTTATGTTAAATGACCAGCGATTTAATATCATATAATATCCATAAATTGTTTGAAAAAGCATTTAAGCAAATCAGGATATCCTGATAAACTGGTCATATGAACAGAGCGCTCCGGCCTTTCTAGGGATGCCTAGCGGCCATGTATATTACTTTGATTTATTTGTGAGGCTCAAGATAAGCGACAGCAATAAATCACCTGTGTAAATATGTATATATATATATATAGGTATATATTAATATATATTAATATATATATATATAATATTATACATGACTTTTATGTCATTTAGTATGTAACATGACTTTTTATGATCATGTTCAGCAACATGAGGTGTAACACAGCACCTAAAATGTAGCACCCCCAAGTCCCAAGTTGGTAAAACAAAATACACACATAAAACTGGTTCGATGTGTCTACCATACCATAAACCCTATATACAATAATATATATATATACAATATATTATATAATATAATTTATAAACTTATAGTGAACCAACTGGGACACCATTTACGTAACACTCCAGGAGAAGACACCCCCGTAAGATACAGTACACCTGTAGCAGTGCGATACCGACAACATGCAAGTATGGCTACCAGCTGTTCGGGTTCGATCGTTAAGCCCCCATTGTTGATGATATCATCCAATCATCCATTTATATCCCAATTTTTAATCTTTAGTGAAATCCCAATTTTTGATTCATGGTTAAATCATCTGGGTAAATTATAACGAGCTCACTGCGACCTCACTGGGAATCATAGTTAATAAGGGAAATCATCCCCAAATGGGCCTTAATTCAGGTTAGTGAATTATTATAATTTACCCAGAATCATGGTTAAATCCCCATAAAATGGTGATAGTTCAACCAGTTTAGCAGCTCCAGCTGCTCACCGCAGTCCTGGATTTTGCATGGTCGTCGGCTTCAGCTCTTTGGTTCTGGCGAAGCCCGTGTGGCCCCGTGCAGGGCTAAGCGGCTAAGGTGGGGATGCTAAAAATAAGTGGTAAACTAACATGTAACATAGCTATATGGAAAATGGCCACTTATAGATGATTTACTTATCAAAAATGAGGATTTTCCATAGCTTTCTTAAAGCTGACAGAGGGCATATATATATATATATATATGTCTTTCATGTCGGCACAGCTCAAGCAGGAAGACCTGATGGCAATGGCGAGAGAGTGAAATTTAGAATTAGAGTTGTTGAGACTGGCTCACTCAGGATCATTTTGTAGCTACGTATCATTATTTTTCTATGCTATGCCCCAAATTTTGAACCCACGTTGGATGGCAAAATACCGTGCCATAAATACACAATAGCTGCTCAGTATGGTCCTGTTGCTGCTCGTTTTTGAGCCGCCCCTTGGATTGTGACCTAGGCTGGAGGGGGCTGGTGAAGCCTGTGAACGAGGGGGCGGAAGCTTCTTGGTGAAGGGGCTGCTGGCCACCCTGTGAAGGATCGAAAGATATCGAGAGTAAAAGGCTCGCAAAATGTCAAGGACTTGGTTGAGGATGCATTATGTCAATAATTGTCTACATAGATACACATCTATCCGTGTACGTCGCATAGGCATGATGTGGAAACATGTGGACAGGATCTCTGTCATATGGCGTCCCATGGCATCCCTAATTTCCATATGTTTCCCATTGTTTGTATCATCAGTTTCCATTAATATTCAAATAGCCTTGTCAGCGTATACCCTCTGGTTATGACTAACATAGCTATTGAAAATGACCCAGTCGAAATAGTGGATTTTCCCATTCAAACATGGTGGATCTTTCCATAGCTATGTAACAAATTACCAGAGGGTACCACTTTCAGACACCCATGTTGTTTCCAACTCACTGCAGACATCCTCGGGTGCTGTGGCTCTTAGAGCAGCTCCCAAACTGGGCCCCGCGCGCGGCGGTCAGCAACGATGGTTTGGGCAAGGATTCTTGGTTCCCTGGGAAAGTGAGATGGTAGCATTAATCCACTAGGAAACCATGCCAAATTGTGAATACTGAAATATCTGAAATCAAGCGTCAAGAATCAGGATGTGTTTTTTTTTTATGTTTTTTGGGATTTTGCTACAGGTTCCTTTAAACCGCCACCAGAGTTTCTTATGCGAAATGCTAGGTTTGACCAAGGACCCAGCTCCTGAAACAGCGATTCCATGTAGGACCATTGCATTACTAAAAACTGCAGCGTTTTTTTCGTTGGAGTTTCCCCTGTGTTAAGGAAGCTGGGTCAGCGGAAAGGGGCGATCCTTCTGCTCTCAGCAGTATGCTGGTGCCTCTCTAGCAGAGGCCATGATTTTTGACCTTCAGGGTGTTCGCCAAGCAAACGGATTTCATCCGCAAACACTGCAAGTAATCTGCAACTTTTGGTACAGAAAGCTGTGAGGGCAACCATTTGGATTGTCCTCTATGGATCGATGATTATGAACAATCCATCCCCTCATCCCTGAAACATGATGAAACATTTACCACTGGCATCCGATTGGCCGCTAGGTTTTGTCCCACCAGCTGGCGTGGCGCCACCACCCACGCCACCACTTCAATGGTCTCCGATGATGGTAACCTGGATAAAATTGCTTGGATGTGGAACAATGTGAGGTGAAAAATCATGAAAAATCTGTAAGAGGCTCATTTTTCCTCATAAAAAATCTTTATATCTGTTTACATGCTTTTTCTGTTCCTTGACAAAGGATCCAAGGAAATATTTCAACATTCACAAATAGTTTGCAGATAGGTTGGGCCCGCAACCTGCATCCAGTGCCAATCACGGCCGAATACGGTTCGCCTCCACCAAGGCAGCCGCATCCGGTGCGGCCCTGTTAGCCCCGGCAGCGTTGGCCGACGAGCCAGACAACACCATCAATCCAACTGATGCCATTGTGCAGGCCAGCTTTCACGAGTGCGTCGTGCGAGGTTGTGCGCCATTGTGATCATTGTGATCATTGTACCATTCCCTTGGGGATTGAAAAGGGGATTGATGAGATTTGATGAGTTTTGAACCACAGTGACAGTCACGGTGATCCAAAAAAGCAGCCGCTGCTGCATGCAGGCCTTCGCCTTAACCTTTGTTTCTGAAACTTGACAGAAGAAGCTGGGGAAGTCGGCAGTATCCTGTCATTGTCAACTCTTGGGCCTTTCTTACCAGCGCAGCCAGGACATGTTAAGGCCATCTCTTAGTCAAAAGAGCCTTCCAAATGCACTGGAGTTGATCTATTTAGCGGACGTTTGTACTCGTACGTAGGAGTTTATCTCGCCACGTGAATCCACATCATGATACATGATACTGTATATCCTGATGATCTATTCCATCTTGATTTCACGCAATATGTGGTAAAACATGGTAAAACGTTTTAATTTGCTTTTGTGGTTCAACCTTCGTCCATTTGTCCAAAAATGCAGCAAAATCGAACCCACTTCTGGATTCAAACCCTATTGATCCCTATTAGCATGCATTGAACTCATTAAATCAGAGTTACTATGTTGCTATCCGGTTGTCTTTCAATGCCGCCAACATTTTTTTGTTCATCCCAAAACACACTGGCGCAACATCTCCAAGAGCTGAGGAAATTGGCGACAAGACCTTTTTCATTGCCGCCATTTTGGCCGCAGGCTCCTCTGCCGCCGAAGGAGTGAGTCGAAAGGTGCCATGCGGCGCGGCCATGCCATTGCGTCGAACGTTTGGACCCGATGGGAGGATGGGACGGTTGAGGTAGACATTTGATGCCAAAGTTCACAAAAAGACAGGACACCTATAGATGAGCAGATTGCACCGGTGCTGAGTATCCATGCTGACCAGGTGCTCACCTTTGTTGGTGCCATTCTTGCTTTGGGAGTTGCTTGGCTGCCTTCTTTAGTCATTCAGAAACGAAGAGCTAGAACAACATCCAATGGTGTAGAGCCAGTGAAAAACCTTGTGTTCACCATTCCACTATTTCAAGTCAGAATGTATAGGATATATAGGTGTACCATGGTGTACCATGGTAGCCACGAGTCCACCCCATTTCCAGACAGACCCAAAAAATGTCATTTGTCTGGGTCAAACTGGCAGGATCACCTCAATTCCTTGCAGATTTTGGGGCTTTACATATTTAAATTCTAAAACAAGTCGAAACAAAAATAAACAAGATTGCAGTTCTCTTCCTCCTGACACTTGGATGAGGGGACATTCAGGAAACATCAGGAAACCTCTTGAATTAGCGACAAAGACCACTGTCTTTCGGACCGTTTCCGCTGACCCCCACGCCTTGATACGCCTTGTAGGTCATGACCTTCATTGCCGTTAGCATCGGCCAGATCTTTCACGCGGTTCCGGATGCAGCTGGTGGTCTTCCGTTGGATGACTATGCTTCAATCCTTGCGTGAACTGGCTAGATGGAAAAGATTGAAAAGATGGAAACGGTGGAAAAGGTGGAATAGGATCGATGGAAAAGTGGTAGATACTGCAATCACGAGAACCCGTGGTCCCGTGGTCCGTGAGAGAACAGATTGTGGAAAGGTGGAAGAGGACTGGGCATTTTTTGTACAAATGCCAGAGGAATCCAAGGCGTAGGGGTGACAGGTCGCCGTTGCTTTGCTCCATGCTAAGAGACCACAATCTACAGACCAAACTGCCCCGGCCATCAATGGCTGTTGCAACTACACATCATACAGTAATATAACATAATATAACTAGCACATATTTCCATATATATATATCCCACACTTTCTGGCAATCCAACCAACTCATCCAGCATTTGCACCAAAAAAAAAAACATCCAAACAGTAGCTGAGGTTCGGCTACTTCGGCGTCAAGCTGCTGCTGGACGCTTCCACCATGGCCGATGACGGCAGCATCTTAGCTGAAGAAAAGGAGGAGGCCGAAGAGGCGGTGAACGAGTCACTGCCCGAGTGGGTCACCAAGTTGGCTTTGCCCACTCTGGTGATCCAGGCCGGGGATCCGTTGCTTCGGTAAGGATATCTAAGGTATATCAGATATAGCGAACTATATCGTTACTGGGGGTTATAAACCAAGATCAACCTCACCAGATACTCCTAATGATTTATGGTTATTTATCAACATGTTTTTGCCTACAGCCCGACAAGCGGCCTAGTGTTTTTGCGATTGTTTGGGGCAATAATGTTCAAGTGCATTTGCACACATACTTGATGCTACGCTACAGACGTCTTCACTTGCATTTGCACATATACTCGATGCTAGGCTACAATCATACAAACGTCTTCACATGCACTTGCACACATACTTGACGATATTTTTCCTTTTTGCCAAATCATGGTAATGACGGTTTGAACATTTTGCCCAAGTGGCGGCTAAGATGCCGAAGAAGATGTGAAAAAACATACAAAAAATGTGTCGGCTGCCCGTCTTGCAGAATACTCTTAACATCTGGATTTTGTTTCATGGATGCTGTGGCATGATCATGCAATTATATAAATCAAAAGATTTACACAAAATGTAAAAAGAAAATAAACAAGTGCACTTCGCTACAGCGAAACGGAAATACGTTCAAGTTTGAAGCCCCATGGCAAAGAGATTTGTCAGGCAAAATCAAGATGGCACCGAGGCGAAATCGCGATTTCCTCAAAACACACTGGAATTGCGAAGGAAAGGAACACAGAAATCAAAAATCCACAGCGTGTGGTTTTTGCACTTCAAGAAGACCTATATAGGCAGTGTTGAACATGTGGTGAAACGCAGGGCCGAAAATCAAGCTCGGATGTTTTTGATGCCAAAACCAAAACATCCAGGGGGCACTTTCCAAGATCTTTCCAATATCTCCCATCCACCAGGCCTTCCTCCTGGTCTTCGCCGCGGAAATCGGTGATCGCTCCTTCATCTCGGCCGCGGCGCTGAGTGCCCAGGGCGGCCCGGAAGGCGCCGTGGCCGTGTTTCTCGGCTCCATTTCGGCCCACGGCGTGGCCACTCTCCTGGCGGTGGCGCTGGGAGATCTCATTAGCACCTATGTTTCGGAACCTGGGCATGCTGGGGGCATGGGATATTGTGGAAACCATGGTGAAAATTACCAAAATTAGAGGTGTAACATGGTTTAAGCTCATTATTCGATGGGGATCTATAGAAAATAGGGAGTACACCATATTGGGATTTAGGGTATTGGATATAACATGATATAACTGATGATATAATATGACTAATCAGTCATATTATATTAGGTGGGCCGTCATTTGATGTTAACCTGGGACCCCCTAAAAATGGAGAATATAATGAAACCCAATAACGGTGATACATATACATATTGATACATTATATTTTTCTATCACCGTCTATCACCCAAGATCAGCAACCGCTGGTTTGTTGGGTAGGGAGTGCTAATATTGAAATAGTAGTGTTTTCACTACGTATTTTAGGGACCCCTTATTAGTAAACTGGTGCATCTTGAATTCCGGGGTGAACAGTACCTAGAAGATCCCATAACATGACAATGTTGAGAATTTTGCTCCACAAAAATAAGGATGAATTATATATTATACATACATATGATAGAGTTATGCCGTGGGAACATTGGACACATGTGTTTTTTTTAAACGTAAACAACATGTGTCTTTGTTTCCAAGGCCTCATCAGAGCCATTGGGGGGTTCCATGGCCTGGCCTTTCGATTGGGCCAGTTTTTTGAGGAAAATGATGGCCATCAATGGATTTGGAACGGTTGGTGCCAAATTTTGAGACAAACCCTGGTTGTATAATGTTGTATACTGTATCCCATAGGATCCATGTATGGTATATATGCTAACATTGGGGGTATATTGATGGTAAATGTTACCATATATAGCATACATGGATCCTATGGGTATGTTGTATGGTTTCACATGATGATGGAATTTCGGTCGTGAGACGAGTGAGGGAGAAGAGGTTAATTTAATACACAGCCTCACTTGGAGGGTTTAATAGATGGACGAGCTTGATGTTGTGGCCAATTGGTGCCCCATGTTGAGCCAGGACCATAAAGGAATGATTGAGAATAACAACACAAAAAGTTCATTATGATCTCCTCACATTGTTCAATTTGTTGATTACTTGGATTCCCCAACAGAGGAGTCATGTTGATCGTTACATACCTATTTGTTGTTTCAATTTAAGCTTCTGTTGGTGTCCATGTTGCTGTATTGTTGCTGTGAGGTTCGCCTTCTTGTGAGATGTAAGGGACGCCAAGTAGGCAAGGATCATGAGAATGGTGATCCCAAGATGGGATTGATTTATATTGATTTAAGTGAGAGAATCCACCGGGAAACGTTATTTAACCAGCCAAAATGATCAAAATGGTTGGTCCCTGTGAGTTTTCCATTTTTTCCAAATCTAGGAGTTGGGGCCAGGTCGAGATCCATTCTGGTTCTCCCCTCAAAAACACATCGCTTCCACCATTTTCCTAGGAGAAGACGTTAACCTACATCGGTGGTGCCTTGTTCTTGCTCTTCGCCGCCACCTCAACGGCCAACGTGGTCAATGCCCTCTGAGGATGGCGACTTTCAGAGGCACTGGAGAAGCCATTTTGAAACAGTTTGAATGGTCATGATAATAATAGCCTCTGGTTATTTAACATAGCCATGGAAAATGGCCTATTTATAGATGGTTTACCTATTAAAAATGGTGATTTTCCATTGGCTATGTTAAATAACCAGATGGTAATCAATAAATAAATAAAGGGAGAGAGAGAGAGAGATAGCTCCAAATGGGAGAAAGCACCATGAAATAAACAAACATATGGTTGTTTTCAATATGATCATTTGAGATTTTCACACGGCCAGGTTTGGCAATGCTGGAGGGTGGATGGTATGATCGGCAGTTCTGGGTCTACCATGCAGGGAATTGTTTGAAGTTTGGTGATTTTGCGTGGAAAGTACATAAAATGAACAATTCTGTCAACCTGAAGTGCTACAGCTATTTCTCCTTGGTTGATATCAGTTGCCCAAATATGTTGTTACATGAAGTTGTTTACAAGAACGATCTTCTCGGACGTTTTGCCAACGGAAACAGACATTGTGAGCTGTTTCCACGGTATCAGATGCGCGGACGCTGGAGATGAAAATCAATCTCCGGACCAAGTTGGATGGTTGGCAGCAACAGAGAAGTGCTCTAACTTCCCAGAAGTTTGGTTATGATTTGGGATTAGCTCCTGAGAAACCTGTACAACATTAGACTTTGATTCTATCTGATCATCTTTTAAATGCCAGATCCGTCCAGTGGCATTTTTTCCCCGGTCATGCACCATGTGCCCAGGGCAGCAGGATGATCCCCAGTGATTTTCAGATGTTCAGTCACGGTGTTTTTTGGGCGAAACAATGCCATTGAAAAATATTGAAAACCCATGACAATCCATGAGAGCCCATGAGAGCCCATGAAAATACATGAAAATACGTAAACATACATGAACAAATATCAAACTACATGGAAATACGAACATCTATGTGTCTTCATATCCGTTTTTCTCTTAAACCAAGCCAGCCATTGCATGGGGACACTTCCCAAGTGCACCGCCATCCATCGGAGCTCAAAGGGCTCGACCAGAGGGGGGTTATGCGCCACTCCACAAGGATTGACCCACAGATAATCACATGATCCCGGAAGTATAGATATTTCATACCCTCAAGTTGGAAGGTTCTAGAATGCCCCCCCCCTGGGGATAAACACGGAGGGTTCTAGAATGAAAAATTTTCATTGTAGAACCCCCGGTCCCGTAAGCATTGTAGAACCCTGGAAGCTTCTATAATAGCATATGATGATCTATGGTGCAGGTTTTGTGCAGGTATTTGTGATCCCTAGTGAGCCGGTGGTTGAAAGCCATTTGCCAGTTTGATCCTCCTGTTGAAACTGTGGTTTTGGTGATTTGCAAGGCTCGATTGCACTACGTCGCAACAATATTGCCGAACCAATGCCATTCGGCACAAAAACCCAGAAGGATTATATACAGATACATGGTAGAAAAATTAACAAAATCACAGTTCAGTTTGTTTCTTGATCTCAGTACATGGTAAGAACATTTCTGACTGGGGGAACTTGTGGGTTCAGCTCAGTTTTGAAGTGGTTAGCTGTACCTTTACCTTTGCATTCACCCCAACAGTGCATGGTTTTTTGAGTTTATTTTTTGCATGTTTGCTTCTTTTGCCGTCACCTGAGGCACACATAAAGTGGCTTTTGCATGTTGTGTCACAAGAGGCTGCAAAATCCCGCGTCGAAAATGTACGTGCATTTGCTAGAGATTTGCATGCATTTGGGCTGTTCTTTTGATTTAATTCCGAAAAGGCGTGGGCCAAATATTGTCTAGCTCCACATCTCTGAACGAAAGGGCCAATAGGTGAAGTGAGCGGCAAATTGGTAGGTAGAAAATTTCCCCACTGGAAACAGCTGTAGTGACACACAAACGAATTTCAGGGAAAATCAAGTCAGCTAAAACTGTGCCTGTCATCTTTTGTTCTTCTACAAGTAGACGAATGCCTGTGCAACAAATGAACATATCTAAGCTATCTAAGCTATCTAAGCTATCTAAGCTATCTAAGCTATCTAAGCATACAACAGTTCTAAAATGGTTTCCCCTTGCAGTAGCTGGTATTTCACACGTTTGGCCAAGCAGGAAACCATTCCAGAACCCTTCCCAAAGATAAATACCTCCAGGGGTAGGTAGGCAGGTACAACCCAATGCCAATTAATTTCAGTGATAATCAAATCAGCTAAAAACTGTTTCTGCCATCTTCTGTTCTTCTACAAGTAGACCAGTGCCTGTGCAACAAATGAACAAATGAAAGCTACCTAAGCATGCAAATGTTCTAAAATGGTTTCCCCTTGCAGTAGCTGGTATTTCACACGTTTGGCCAAGCAGGAAACCATTCCAGAACCCTTCCCAAAGATAAATACCTCCAGGGGTAGGTAGGCAGGTACAACCCAATGCTACTGAATTTCAGTGATAATCAAGTCAGCTAAAACTGTTTCTGCTATCTTTTGTTCTTCTACAAGTAGACGAATGCCTGTGCAACAAATGAACAAATGAAAATTACCTAAGCATACAACAGTTCTAAAATGGTTTTCCCTTGCAGTAGCTGGTATTTCACACGTTTGGCCAAGCAGGAAACCATTCCAGAACCCTTCCCAAAGATAAATACCTCCAGGGGTAGGTAGGCAGGTACAACCCAATGCTAATGAATTTCAGTGATAATCAAGTCAGCTAAAACTGTTTCTGCCATCTTTTGTTCTTCTACAAGTAGACGAATGCCTGTGCAACAAATGAACAAATGAAAGTTACCTAAGCATGCAAATGTTCTAAAATGGTTTCCCCTTGCAGTAGCTGGTATTTCACACGCTTGGCCAAGCAGGAAACCATTCCAGAACCCTTCCCAAAGATAAATACCTCCAGGGGTAGGTAGGCAGGTACAACCCAATGCTAATGAATTTCAGTGATAATCAAGTCAGCTAAAACTGTTTCTGCCATCTTTTGTTCTTCTACAAGTAGACGAATGCCTGTGCAACAAATGAACAAATGAAAGTTACCTAAGCATGCAAATGTTCTAAAATGGTTTCCCCTTGCAGTAGCTGGTATTTCACACGTTTGGCCAAGCAGGAAACCATTCCAGAACCCTTCCCAAAGATAAATACCTCCAGGGGTAGGTAGGCAGGTACAACCCAATGCCAATGAATTTCAGTGATAATCAAATCAGCTAAAAACTGTTTCTGCCATCTTCTGTTCTTCTACAAGTAGACCAGTGCCTGTGCAACAAATGAACAAATGAAAGTTACCTAAGCATGCAAATGTTCTAAAATGGTTTCCCCTTGCAGTAGCTGGTATTTCACACGTTTGGCCAAGCAGGAAACCATTCCAGAACCCTTCCCAAAGATAAATACCCCCAGGGGTAGGTAGGCAGGTACAACCCAATGCTAATGAATTTCAGTGATAATCAAGTCAGCTAAAACTGTTTCTGCCATCTTTTGTTTTTCTACAAGTAGACGAATGCCTGTGCAACAAATGAACAAATGAAAGTTACCTAAGCATGCAAATGTTCTAAAATGTTTTCCCCTTGCAGTAGCTGGTATTTCACACGTTTGGCCAAGCAGGAAACCATTCCAGAACCCTTCCCAAAGATAAATACCTCCAGGGGTAGGTAGGCAGGTACAACCCAATGCCAATGAATTTCAGTGATAATCAAGTCAGCTAAAACTGTTTCTGCCATCTTTTGTTTTTCTACAAGTAGACGAATGCCTGTGCAACAAATAAACAAATGAAAGTTACCTAAGCATGCAAATGTTCTAAAATGGTTTCCCCTTGCAGTAGCTGGTATTTCACACGTTTGGCCAAGCAGGAAACCATTCCAGAACCCTTCCCAAAGATAAATACCTCCAGGGGTAGGTAGGCAGGTACAACCCAATGCTAATGAGTTTCAGTGATAATCAAGTCAGCTAAAAACTGTTTCTGCCATCTTTTGTTCTTCTACAAGTAGACGAATGCCTGTGCAACAAACGAACAAATGAAAGTTACCTAAGCATGCACATGTTCTAAAATGGTTTCCCCTTGCAGTAGCTGGTATTTCACACGTTTGGCCAAGCAGGAAACCATTCCAGAACCCTTCCCAAAGATAAATACTCCAGGGGTAGGTAGGCAGGTACAACCCAATGCTAATGAATTTCAGTGATAATCAAGTCAGCTAAAACTGTTTCTGCCATCTTTTGTTCTTCTACAAGTAGACGAATGCCTGTGCAACAAATGAACAAATGAAAGTTACCTAAGCATACAACTGTTCTAAAATGGTTTCCCCTTGCAGTAGCTGGTATTTCACACGTTTGGCCAAGCAGGAAACCATTCCAGAACCCTTCCCAAAGATAAATACCTCCAGGGGTAGGTAGGCAGGTACAACCCAATGCTAATGAATTTCAGTGATAATCAAGTCAGCTAAAACTGTTTCTGCCATCTTTTGTTCTTCTACAAGTAGACGAATGCCTGTGCAACAAATGAACAAATGAAAGTTATCTAAGCATGCAAATGTTCTAAAATGGTTTCCCCTTGCAGTAGCCGGTATTTCACACGTTTGGCCAAGCAGGAAACCATTCCAGAACCCTTCCCAAAGATAAATCCTCAAGGTGCATTGTCTAGGGTGACATCTCTGTGTCATAGCTGCCCAGCCCCCCCAAATATCCCAAAAGAACAAATGTCCAATCAGTGGCGTCCTGATGAAGGTAGGCAAACTTGCCATTTTTTAAGTGACAGCTGGACAGCTGTAGTTCGACACACACCTGCTTGCTGATTCCGCATGTGATGATTTGTTCCTTGTTTTTCTCCTTTGACGCAAAAACACTATTGTTTTGAAAACACTGCATGTAGGAGTTTGCTGTTTTATTGATTTTTTTTTCTGGTTGGACATGTCTGCATAAAATTAAACAAACAGTCGCACGGGAAATGGAACGAGTCCACAACTAAATTCGTTTGAAAAGGGTGACTTAGGGGACATTCTGAAAGCATTTGGGTTTGGGTGTA